AGTTTGATGATAGGTTGAAAAACAAATACATGTTCTTAGTCAGAGGGGAACAGTTTGGTGTAATCACTGCAAGAACTTGAAAATCATTGTGCACGTGATCTGGGTGGTTTTGAATTGTGTAATTTTGATGTTTGCAAGGGAGACACCAATTGAATCAAAAATCTTTTAGTTGACGAAAGGTAAGCATAGTGGGATCTCATATTCTCTACATTTTTTACTCAGTTGTGTGTTGGTAAAGATGTGGGCTATTATGTTGCTGGCCTGCTTATTCCATACTAATACTGTCTCATCAAGGATGTGTACATTCTTCTTAGAAATTTTAAAAATGGCAAAGTTGGCATATGGATTGATGGTTGTTGATATACCTTCAGTTGCTTTTTGGGGGATCCTAAGAGGATCAGGAAGTTCTTGCGCTGTTAAATGGCTCAACCTCAGAAACTGATAAAATGTTTATCAGTGGAAATAACATTAAAGAACCGTTACCATTTGCCCTGCAGATAGACCCTAAGGACCATGAGACCTTTCCATTAACTTGCAGCCTTCCATGTGTGTTGTCCCCCCATTAGAATGTGAGCTCCTGGAGAGCAGGGGCTGCCTTGCTTTTCTATTTGTATCCTCCCCATGTATCCTAGTAAATGCTTCAGTCATTCAAGCTCCTCGCAGCCCCTCCCCCTCCACACCTCCCTTATCTTTGGTACCTTTCCTGACTTCGTGTACTTTGTTTTGTTTCCTTACTACCTTCACAATTGTCTCCAGCAAAGATCTCAGTGTACGTTTGGTCTGATTCTGTTTTCCTCATCTTATGTTCTCTTTAGTTTTATTTTTGTTTCCTCTATGAGCACATCCTGGACTGTGACTTTAGAGTCCAAATGTGGAAACTTCTCTTTCCTTAATGGTAAAAATGTCATAAAAGGTTTAATAAAATTTCCCCATATTCTTTTTGTTTCCTCTCTAGTTTTATACTTAAGTGGCTTTGGCATGGTATTGCTTAGTTGTGTCTTTTGCCAAGGTTTCTTTAAATTGGCTTTACCCATCACCACTTATTAGGTGATACTGCTCATAATCTTCCCTCACTTTTCTCTGTAAGGTTAAAAAAATTTTTTTATTCCCAACTTAAAATCAACATGAGCATTTTAATTTACATAGAAAACATTGAACACTAAACTGAATTTCTGTTCTATGTCACTTGCTTTTCTTTTTATGTATGTAATTCAGCATGTAAATTTCAAAGCTCTCCTGCTTGTCTGTGATTCCTATTGACCTTTCTGTTTTCTGTACTAAAAAAGTTTCATTCTTAAAAAATTAACAGGCATTTATTTTTATTCTTTCCCATTTTCACACCCTCTTGAAAAAAAAAAGAAATTTTTTTTTTTTTACAGTAAACATGATTGTCAAATGGAACAAATTCCCACATTGGCCATATCCAAAAATGTGAATCTCATTTTGCCTTTTAGTTCATCACTTTTCTGTCAGGAGATGGGTAGAGTCTTCATTATTAGATTTCTGGAATTATGATTCTGTTGATCAAAGTCTTAAGTCTTTCAAAATTGTTCTTTTTTACAGTGTTGATGTTATAGTATAAATTAGTCTGTTTCTGCACACCACTATGAATTTATCTAGCTGAGTCTTCCCAGATTTCTCTGAAAACTTCATTTCTTATAGCATAATGGTATTCCATTACACTCAGAAACCATAATTTGTTTAGCTATTCTCTAATTTATTTTCCAGTTCTTTGTCACTACAAAAACAGCTTCTCTATGTTTTTACTTAGGGGGACCTTTTTCTCTTTCTTTGATACCATTAGGTCTAGCAGTGGCATAGCTTGGTCAGAGGATATGCACAATGTAGTAACTTTTTGCAGTTATTTCAAATTGTTTTCCAGAATGGCTATACCAATTCATGATGGGCCTGTTCTCCTGCAGCCCTTCTAACATTTAGTATTTTCGTTTTTTTGTCAGCTTTGCCAGCCTGATACATGTGAGGTGAATCCTGAGTTGCTTTTTCATTTCCCTATTAGTGATTTGGAGCATTTTTTTTTATTTCTATAGATAGCATGGATTTCTTCCCTTGAGAACTGCCTATTCACTATCCTTTGATCATTTAATTGGAGAATGTATCCCATATATTTTTCTCATTTTTAAAAAAGTTGTGCTCTAGCTTAGCTCTAGTGGATCAGTGATCTCATTGAACAACTGATTCAAGATTGACTAATCAGCAATAAGTAATTTTCTGTTTTAAAATGTAATCACAGTTTTTGGTGATTTAATTTGCTATTTTGCCATGTCCAGCACCTTCCAATTCATACACACACAGACACAGACAGACACACACACAGCTGAAGCTTCTGTGTAGTCTACAAATCTTTGGCTTCTCATTCTTTATTCCTGATTTATATTTTCCAACGTATTTTTTCACCAACCTCATCTATTTCCTCTTTTGCTTTGAAGTCAAGAGCATCAAGTATATGTTAATTTAATTTGGAGTCAGAATTCATCACAGAATTTTTGCACATCTTAATGTTACTTACTACTTTTAGATGTACTGTAACAAAGCAACTCTATCAGCTCCTTTAGGTTTCCAGGTTGACATTGAACTATTAACTACCAATTTTTGTTCCGTTATTTTTACACACTATTTGTTCTCTTCAGCAAATAACTTAACCTCTCTGGGCTTCAGTTTCCTCATCTGTAAAATGAGGGGGTTGGATTATATGGCTTCTAAAGCCCCTTCCAGTTTCAAATCTATGTTCCTATGAATCTACCTAGCTCTGTTATGATGTAGCTCACATCTCTCCATCTTGTCTGCAAGGATAATGAGGCTGTAAAAATGCTTTATTGAGATTTGGGCATAGTAATAATTGACATTTACATAGTGCTTTAAGGTTTGCAAAGTGCTTTACATAATGTCACATTTGAACTTTATAAGAATACTATAAGAGGAACAGAGCAAAATTTATAAACATAAGGGCCATTCCCCAATTGATAAATGGTCAAAGGATATGAACAGGCAGTTTTCAGAGGACGAAATCAAAGCTATCAATATTTCTATGAAAAAATGCTCTAACTCATTATCAAATAGAGAAATGCAAATTAAAACATCTCTGAGGTACCACCTCACACCTGTAAGATTGGCTAAGTTGACAAAAAAGGAAAATGACAAATGTTAGAAGGGCTGCAGAAGAACAGGTACTGAATTGCACTGTTGGTGGAGCTGTGAACTGGTCCAGCCATTCTGGAAAACAATTTGGAACTATGCCCAAAAAGCTATTAAACTGTGCATACACTTTGACCCAAAAATACCCCTACTAGATCTATATTCCAAGGAGATCAAAGAGAAAAAAGACCCATATGAACAAAAATATTTATAGTAGCTCTTCGTGATGGCAAAGAATTGGGAAACAGGCATGTTTATCAACTGGGGAATGGTTGAACAAGTTATGGTATATAAATGAGATGGAATACTACTGTGCTATAAGAAATGAAGGGGGAAAGTTTCAGAAAAACCTGGGAAGGCTTGTGTGAATTGATGCAAAGTGGAGCAGAACCAGAAAAATTTATACAATAACAATGTTGTAAAGATAATCAACTTTGAAAGACTTAGTAATTTTGTTCAACCCGTGACCAACCACAATTCCAAAGGACTCATAATGAAGTATACTGTCCACCTCCAGATAGAGACCTCATAGACTCAGAGTGCAGACTGAAGCACATTTTCTTTCTTTGTTCCTTTCTCTTGTTTCCTTCTTTCTTTCTTTTGACGTGGCTAAGGCAAGAATTTGTTTTTAAGGCTATACATATTAGTAATGAGTTTTGCTTTTCTTGCCTTCTTGATGGGTGAGGGATGGGAAGGAGAGGAAAGCATTAGTAACTGAAAATGAAATAAAATTGAATTGCCTTAGAGACAACCAAGTCTGACCTCGTTATTTTATAGATGAGGAACTCAGGGAAAGAGACTAAGTGACTTGCCCAGGGTCACACAGCTAGTAGATATGAGGTGGCATTTGAACTCAAGTCTTTCCTTATACCAACTCTAGTGTTCTCTCCTCCACACCAGTTGTGTCAAACTCAAATAGAAAAGCAGCCACTAAACCATATATAAGGATCCTGCTGGGCTGCGTATTGACTTATATTTCCCAATTAAATTTTAATGTGGTTAGGGCCCTAAGCACTTGAGTGTTACAGATACCTCTGCAATTCTACCATGCCACCTCTCATACTATAAAATTATAGTTTACAATTATTATCCCTGTTTTGGAAACAAGGAAACTGAGACTCAAAGAGGTTCAGTGAATTGTTCTCGATTACACAGGTAGTATATGTCAGAATAAACAAAATAGATGTCCATTGATTGAGAATGGCTAAAGAAGTTGTGTATCAGTGTAGTAGATGGAGGTCTACAGGTGTAGAACGCTGCATTTATTGTCAGATTTTTTCCAGTATATTAATTGGTTTTGCTGACTTTTTTCTCTTTCCTCTTTTTCTTTTTTAAAAAAAAATCTTTATTGTAATGGATGGCTTCCTTGAATGGAGGAAGGAAAGGATACTGGGGAAAATCTAGGCATTGTAAAAACAAAAGATACTAAAAAAATATTTTTTAAAATGTCAGAGGTGGGATTCAAACTTAATTGCTTTCCACGAAACCAATTTGCTATATCTACAGCTCTGTCTTGATTTAGCAGTCCAGAAAAACTCTCAAAAAAAGTTAAGTCTGTTGAACCTATTCTGCTTTTTAGTTCTTTCCATTTCCCTTTCTAAGTGTATTCATAAATCATATCTTTGGTAAGAATTAGGATTTTGTCAGGAAATAACATCAAATTTAAGTCTTAAAGTCTAAAGAATCTATTATACCTTCCCTTTTTGAAACTAATGATGCTGTACCTCTCCGAATTTTCATTTCATGATGACAAAGACTAACAGATGAAATCAGTAAGTTGAGCACCCCAGAATGTAATCCATCAAGGTCTGTTGAACTTAATAATGAGAGTGCTTACAAAATGCCAATTAGGAAACACTGGCTTTATTCCACATGAGAATTACAAATGACAAAATGTACAACTGCACCAAATTGTAGGGATCAATAACAGTTCAACTTTTTCCAACGTTAAAAGGAAGTTCCAATGGTCTGTCCCAAGTAGTCATAGTAATCTTCTCCCCGAAAGCCTGTTTGAGAACTTTGTGTACTTGCTCAGAGATGTCTGATCTCAGAAATCTCTTCCCACATCTTCAATGTATTTAGGGTTTCAATTTGCTTTTGATCCTTTTTTAATGCTCCCCAGTCTGAAGATCATCTTCCTTGATGGAGAAAACAAAAGCAAAAAAGCAGCAGTTCCATCCTTTCTTTGCTTTTCCTTTTGCCTCCAATCAGATATGGAATAGGAGCAGAAAGATGAAGATACCACATCATTAACACCCCATGTCCCATAACCACATCCATGAGTTTTCAGCCATGTTGAAACTTTCCCACAAGCTATTTGTATAATATGCATGGCACAAACATTAGGGCATACTAATTAGTGACATACTTTAGTTTTTTAGCTAGATTCCAATAATAGTAAAATAAATATCTGATTTTAATAAACCATTTAGCAAGCACTCCTTAAAACCACACTAAATACCAACTACCTGTTTTGTTGGTGTTTAAAAAAAATCAAAATTTCACCTTGAAGTAGCACATAATGTTCTAGTATTCATTTGTAAAAGTGTTCCTATATAATTTGTCATGATTTTAATGTTTAGCCTTAAGAAGATTCATGCTTATAAAAGGCATCACTCACCTTTATAAAATTCCTTAAGTCACATAGCAATACTTGTTGCCAGCTATCTACTAAATACCTGTGATGTGTATTATAACAATAGTGCCAATAACAGAAGGCCCACATATGTACACTGTTAACGATGGCAGTGCCAGCTTTCTTGTGCCAATGGTCTTATGGAGTAACTCAGTATCCCTGGTCATTTCTCCTAAATGAATCTGCTATTCAATCTAGCAGTTTCCGTATTTTGAAACGTTCAAGAAGAAGCACAAACTATAATTTAGGTGCTATATTACTAGATACAGAAATATCTTTGTTTTTATTTAAATGAATTGCATGGGATTACTTGTTCTTTTTATATGGCGCCTTAAATAAGCCATTTTATTTCCCCCCAAAGTTTGAACAATTTGATAAGATATGATTGTAAACATGTTGTTAATGATCACTGTGGATAACCTGGGAAGCTTCCTATAAAGGTAAGTAAAAACGATACCATGAAAATGATCTACCACCATTAATGTGGCTAGCTAATAGGTTTCCAGAGAAAACTGATAAAGTGTGAAAGGATTACAATGCTTTACTAGCTGATGCATAGAAAATGTAAATAGATGTTTCTTCCATTCAACCATATGAGCATTATGGCCACTCTTCTGATAAATGGTTTACTTTCCCAAATGTTAATACATCATTAAAATAAGCAGTAGTTTAACTGCAGATGCATTTACAGACATAAAATGCTAGACTGCTCAGATGTAGACATACAAACAATCTTTTCTATTTAAAATATATCAGTTCTGCCTTATTGATTACTGCTGATTATACTTCATGTATGAAAATGGAATTTTATTATATGAAGATGAGTTTAAAACAATTAAAAAAAAATAAAAATTTCTAAATGGAAAGATGAAGATAGCATTTTGGGGAGCAGCTGCACAGAGGAAGGCAGCCATATTTTGTCTAGCTTCCAAGAACAGTGAGTGGTAAATGATTATACCAACTCATACATGTTTCAGCATATAATTCATTCTCATTAGCATTGTTTCCTAAGCTGACTTTTAATGAGCAAAAAATACTTCATAAATCAAGTATCCACAATTTTGAGTGGCTCAAAATGAGTCTCATATATGAAATCCTTTGGCAGGCCACAGGTTGTGCAGGCCTGTTCTAGTTGATCTGTCAACAGGATCTTTGCCCTGGAAATAAGCAATAGGTACTTTCACCAGGGCTCATGACAATCAGGACTGTGTTGGAAAAAAATAACAGACTAACAATATATTAAAATTGTGTTTGTGTTACCAGGCAAATCTCATTCACTGCAGCTGTCATAGAAAAAGAAAACAGGTAAAGCTGGTTATAGGATGTCTCATCGTTATCACCCTCCCCCACAACTTATGCTGTGATTGCCCATACTTTTGGTCAAAGTACCTCAATATATCCTGGAAACTCTTCAGAAAGGTACAACTTTGCTATTCAGTTATTTGTAAACAATGGGTGCCATTACCAAGGCTAGAACCACCAGATAATTCCAAAGGTAGAGGTACTGTTATTTCCTAGAAGAATTACAAACAGGTGAGAAGAAATCATTCCACCACCAAGGCCATCTATTACTGGGTAGTAACAAGCTTTACAATCATGCTGATAATCCGTGATCCTCTTGGGCAAGTGCTGAGATCCATGCTGGGGTTCTTGATTTTATCTTGGAGTAGCTGGTCAAGTTCACAACGAAGTTCCTTAACCAATTCTGCCACCTGAAAAAAGATGCAAAGGTGTAATCAGTGGCAAGGAAAACAGTAAGAATACATCATTAAAGGAAAATATACTTTATTGATGACAAAAATCTCTAGTGTTTTCATCCCAACCTGAAAAAGAAAAGCAGCGCCTTCATTTTGTAAACTGTAAACAATTCACATGTGGCTTATAGATGGTCCTTTATGGCATGAACAAGGCCTGTCCTAAAGAACCTACCCCTTAGAAACGCGGCTATTATGCCACTTAACAACAAACTTACTTAACAACAGTCACCTTCATTGCCTGCACTGATGGAGAGAAGCAGTGAAATTAAGTCAAAGCAGATAATAGTAATTTTCATTTGGTTTTGAGCTACATTATAACTTTTTCAGCAGAAGATTTACATTCTGATTATATTTCAATTAGACTAATGTTAAATTGAGTTTTCCTTCTTTAAATATAAATTACCTTGTGGTATAGGCAACAAGCATGTTGGGTTAGTAAGGTTAGTAAGTAGACTTTAGGTTAAATATTTGTCTTATAGAATACATAAAGTAGATAACTGAAAACTGTTATTTAAGAAAGGTAATAGTTCTAGAAATGACAAATGCTGGAGATATGGGAAAAAGGTACACTAATAAACTGTTGGTGGAGTTTTGAACTGATCCAACCAGTCTGGAGAACAATTTGAAACTATGCCTAAAGGGCTGTTTATACAAAATTATACATATCCTTTGACCCAGCAATACTACTATTAGGTTTGTATCCCAAAGAGATCAAAGAAAAAGGAAAAAGACCTATATGTACTAAAGTATTTACAGCAGGTTTTTTGGTGGTGGCAAAGAATTGGAAATTGAGGGGATGCCCATCAACTGGGGAATAGCTGAACACGTTATGGTATATAATGGTGATGGAATACTATTGTGCTATAAGAAATGACCTGTATGAACTGATGAAAAGTAAAATTAACAAGGGACAGCTAGGGGGATTAGGGGATAGAGCACTGGCCCTGGAGTTAGAAGGACCTGAGTTCAAATCTGGCCTCAGACACATAACACTTACTAGCTGTGTGACTCTGGGCAAGTCATTTAACCCCAACTGTCTCACCAAAAAAAAAAAAATCCAAACAGACAAAGTAAAATGAACAGAACCAGGAGATCGCTGTACACAATAACAGCAATATTGTAATGATGATCAGCTATGAAAAACTTAGCTACTGTGGTCAATACAATGATCTAAGACAATTCTAAAGGACTCATAATGAAAAAGGCTATCTACCTCCAGACAGAGAACTAATTAACTCTGAGTGCAAACTGAAGTATAATTTTCTCACTTCATTTTTCTTGCTTCTTTTGTATTCCATGGCTAACATGGAAATGTTTTGCATAGTTTCACATGCATTGCTGACATATTGCTTGCCTTCTCAGTAGGTATGGGAAGGGCTAAAGGGAGAAGGGAAGGAGAAAATTTGGAACTCAAAATTAAAAAAAAAAAGAATATTGAAAATGTTTTTTTTGAAAGAAAGGGTAATAATCTCAGCACAGAACTCAGAAATATATCCCTTGAATTCTTAGTTCATTAGTTACCTTTTGCACCTAAAGGAAACCCTTATTATACTTCACATTATCAGAGACTATGCTGACAATGTGTTTAACATCTCACCAATTTACCTCATTACCTGATGGGAGGCAGCTGCAAAACGAATCCAACCGTCATCCAGGGAGACAATAAATTCTCCCCTTTGAAGCCGCACGTTCACCTGGCCTCCACCAAACAATAGCAGTGGGTACACAGACACCATGCTGCAGTCTCGGATGAACACTCGACTGGTCTTGATCTTCTCATGGTATACCAGGTAGGGGCTATCAAAGTGTCTCATCTGTAACATGTAGCCCCAAGTGGCATCAGTGAGATCATTTGCAGTATCTACTCCCTGCTTCAGTAAACTCAACTGAAAAGAAGCTAAATTCCCATTATCTCATTACCTGTTATTCAGGCCTACCCAAATAGCCAGCCCCTTTTAGTTTCCATTCACTAACATGCCCTCTCCCTGACCCCGCCTTGGTCTATATCCACCCTCATCTTCTAGCCTGATAAGGCTGGCCCTCTACTCCTCCGAACACTACAGCCCCTTAACTACAGCTCTACTTTAACCCCTTACATTCAACCCACCATCTGCATGAAACTGAAAAGAAATGAGATTTATTAACATTAAAAGCCAGATAGTCAGTAATCCTTACTGAGTGCCTATTGTGTGCAGGTACCAATGTAAGAAGAGAAAGGAAAAGTAGAAGACTAATTTCTAGGCAGAAAAATCAGTAACTGGTTTTGATCTCTGAGCAAGAACTCTTAAAATTCCCATTCAATGCAACTATTCAGTAATATAATCATATCCCACCTCCTCAAGTCATTTGGAGATTCTTTGTTGGTGCTATGAATCTGCTTTGAACAACCACAGTAGCAAGGCCATTTTGCATATGAAAGTTGCCCTGTGCTTTATTTGAGTTTTCTTAAAATGGAAAAGGTCTCAGAAATAGTGGAGTTGCTTCTAATTCGTTTTACATTCATGCCATTCCCACTAAGTTAATTTGGACTACTGCTCTAGGCTACCAGGCAGAGGCAGGAATAGAACTGAATTTAACCAAATGAGTTTTTTCCTTGGTATCTGCAATATACACAGTGATACTGACCTGATAGTTCACAGAAGAAGGGTGAATGTGGACATAACCATCATTCTTGGTGACAAACTTCAACTCCTCCACTTTGGGTTGCATTCTAACAGCTCCTCTACTGGTCTTTTGATATTTCCCTTCTGGAGTTTTCACCTAAATGAGAAGAAAAACTAAATGCATAATTGACATTTTTTTAGAAGGTGTATTCATGGGCAACAAACATAGCTTTGTTTGAGGGTTCTTGCTCCTCTTCCTTCCCCCTTGTTTTCTAGTTAATTTATATCAACCCTTGTGACTGATAGTTACACCTAGTTTTATTTCTTTTCTACGAAGTCATAAAAGAAAGAAGTGAGGAGATATGAGTCACCACGCCACAGAGCTGCTATGTTAAAGAGATGATGTCTGAAGTTATCCTTCTACACTGGACCGTGCAGTGCCCATTCTCTAAAAAACCATCAGACTGCCATTGTAAAGACTGGATTGTATTCAGGATCCTAGCAAAATATTTCCAAATGGCTTTCTAATGTAGGTTTCAGTTGATCTTAAAAGCATATCCATGGTGATCTGAAAAGTAACCAATAATAACTGAATGTATAACATGTGCAAAGCACTGGGAAATGGTTTAGAATTTCAGCTGACAAGCTGACAATTCTCTAGGAATCTGAAATGAGAGCTTGTTGCAGCTGGAGTTCAACACTTGGTTTGAAAGTCCAAGAGACAGGGTGAGGTTTGGGTTTCCAGAATGCCAAGTGTGCTGGGCACTCCCCTCCAAAGACTACTTATTCCAATAGAAGGAAGCCATGCCACCATTAATCCACATCTAAAGGGTATTCTTACTGCAAAGCAGAGCTAATCAAAGGAAGAAGGGTCCCATAGTAGGTCCAAATGTACATCTAGCATTCTTTGTTGGGGTATGGAATCTGCAAAGGAGAAAGGCTGGTTGATCCAATAATATTTATGTCTATTCCAGTAAGTTAGAAGGATTAAAGGATTATCTCACTTCATTCAAAGGATGTTTCAGAAAAGTCTAAAACGTTTGCTAATTAAAGGAATATTTTTAAGTTACAGAATGAACATCCTGGAAATTATCCCTTTCATGCAGCAGAATAGTCTAAAAATGGGCAGGCAACAATAATAAACCAGGGAAATGTTCTGTTACCTGGACTACATTTGGATACAGAGCAGCACATAAGATTGCTGATATCAGCTTGGTATTCTCAGCATTTGAGTTTGCCTGTGTAAGAAATATATGATTAAATTATCAGCTCTAGAGAACAGTTAAGATGTTTTTCTTTAATAATTAGAAAATTAGGAAAAATAGAAAAGATCTGTTAATAGTCATGGTCACTTATGCCTGTGATAGGACACTTTTGCTTCTGACCACTGCCTCCTTCAATCTGCCCTCCTATCAGCCCTCTCTCTTTTTTCCCTCTCCCCTCCTACTTCCCTATAGGGTAAGATAAATTTCTATACCCAACTAAGCGTGTATGTTATTCCTTCTTTGAGCCAAATCTGATGAGACTAAAGTTCAAGCAATGCTCACCCTATTTCCTTCTTTCCCTCCACTGTAATAGGTCTTTTGTGCCTCCTTCATGTGATAGAATGAGGTAAATTATGTCTCTCCCTTTCCTCTTCTCCCAGTGCAATCCTCTTTCTCACCCCTTAATTTTTTAAAATATCATTCCATCACAGTCAGCTTATACTTGCAACCTCTGTCTGTGTATGCTCCTTGTAACTTCCCTAATAAAGAAACAGTTCTTAAGAATTACAAGTATTATCCTCCTATATAGGGATGTAGACAGTCTAACCTTATTGAATAAAACTTATGTTTTTTCTTTCCTGTTTACCTTTTTATGTTTCTCTTGAGTGATAGAACACTTATGAATACATTTAATTAGCACCCAGATTTTAAAAATATTATCTTTTTTTTGCCCTAGTAAAAAATAAAAATACATTCTTTGCTACAAATGAGATATAAGGTTGTTCTCACTACATTCACACCGGCCAAAGAGCTGAAGGCACTTTGTAGACATCCATGAAGTAGTTGTAGAATAAGTATAATATTCCATTTCTTTCTTTCTTTCTTTCTTTTTTTTTTTTTTTTTGGTGAGTCAATTGGGGTTAAGTGGCTTGCCCAGAGTCACACAGTTAAGTGAGTATTATGTGTCTGAGACCGGATTTGAACTCAGATCCTCCTGACTCCAGTACCAGTGCTCTATCGACTGCATCACCTAGCTGCCCTATATTCTGTTTCTAAAGCTAGTGGAAGGGGGGTGGGGAGCAGATGTCTTTTTCATGAATGCTCACATTTTCTATATAAAAATATCTGGTAACATTTGGAACAAAGTGGTACCATGCATAGCCTGAGGAAGTGTCTATCTTACAACTGTCACAAAGGAAGTCGTATTTTGGTAGAAAAAGGTCAGACTGTTTTGAATGTGCATTTTTGGGAATGATCCTTCATAGCCCTTGTGGGTTTGAGCAGGATCAACAGGAAATCAAATAGCCATTTCTTGAGTAACAGCTGATATCTGTTATGGAAAGGACTAAGAATCCAGGGTAGAAAAATAGCACTGAGCCAGCCCTGGGGTTATGTAGTGAAGAATGCCTAATGAACTATCTGTAAAAATAACAGTTTATTTATTTTCTTTCTAATTAAGGAGAAAATGAAGATTTTTTTTTTTACCTCCTCTCCTGTAGCATCCAGTACACCATCTCCACCCTGGGACCATCTCTTCTCAATATCTCTTGCTCTCAATCCTTCCTTCACAAACCCTATATCTGATAACAATTCAGTGAACTGCCGTTTAAGGCTGGCAATTTCCTAAAAGAAACAGATGAGATCTTTCAGTGAGGGCATCCCTTGACAATTTATGGAAGGACACAGACAAGAAGAGGACAGTGTGGGGTTACAATCTTCACCAATGGATGCTTTCAGTTATCAAAATAGCACTTGACGAAAAGTATCAAAAAATTTACGTGCATAGTTTTACTGTATTACTTGGCATAACAAACAGTATCTATGAGTTACTAAGATAAATCAAATCTTGCTCGCATAACTTAATAAAGAGGAACAATAGTAGAGATGTTCCAAAGCAGCGGATAACACAGCTATACAGTTTTTCCAGACATTTGCATTTTAATTTGAATATTACATAGGCACAAGTTTCAGCGGATTTGTAGTGATTCACAGTACTGCAGCTTTAGTATTTTGTTTGAAGACCCAAGTCAGGAAGAGTCTGAGAACTTGTGAAGGTCTCTATCCTGTCCCATGACTACTCCTTGCTCCCCCACTGCATGCTTAGAATGGACAGCTTTTTCTCTCAAACGGATGCAAAGCACCAACTTATCCCATCTTCCACCTTCCTGTTTATTGTTTACCCAGGGCACATATTATGTGACTTGGGACAAGAGGAGAAGATAATGAAATGCTTTTGCTTTAGGGCCTTTTCTTTATAGCTTGAGTACAAATGTTTGGACAGGGAAGTTCAAGGTATCTCTTCTAGGTCTCATTTAGTTATAAGTGGCTAATAATAGAACTGAAAACAAATGAGCACTACTCAAATTCTCCTTCCAGTTGTTTTCCTGATACCCCAAAAATTTGCTCAGTAAGCCACAAATCCAAGTTGAGAAAAGAAGACTGAAAGTTTCCTGCACATACCTGCTTCAAAATCAGCTTTTACTGAGCTCTTTTTTGAAGGCTTTTTTTGGTTGTTGGGTTGTTTCAGTCATGTCTGACTCTTCATGACCCCATTTTGGGATTTTCTTGGCAAAGATAATGGAGGGGTTTGCCATTTCTATCTCCAGCTCATTTTACAGATAAGGAACTGAGGCAAAGAGGGTTAAAGTGACTTGTCCAGGGTCATACAGTTAGTAAATATCTGAGACTGAGTTTGAACTCGTGAAGATCAGTCTTCCTGATTCTAAGCCCAGTGCTCTATCCACTGTACCATCTAGCTGCCCTCTTAATAAGGTTCCAGTTACTCTAATATGAACTTGAGTTCAGTGGAAGCTTGGCACTATCATGTGCATAGGGCTGAATCTATTTAATGGAACACATATGCCACATTCAAACTTCTTTATACATCCTGAAGAAACCTATAAATTACTCACTAAATGAGACCTATTCTAATGCTGTAACATGATATGGAGGTGACCCCAGGTTGTTGGAGACAACTGATAAAGTTTCAAATCTACTGGAGACAGACTGCTGCCAGCTATGTGTGGTGAGACTCATCAACAGGAGGTTGGCAGGCTGACAGGTGCACCACACCTATTCCAGTTTTACATCACCAGAAAGGTAGCCACGAGGGGATGGATACTTTTTCTAGGCATAAAATTTCACAAAATAGTTCGCTGATGCGTGGAGAGGTTTCAATCGATATCAGTCAAGGAAGCACTCACATCTACGAAACCTGGATCTTCTGAAGCAAGATGTGGATATTATGCTCTTCAGTCTTAAAGACTAGAGGTAACTTATGTAACTGAATGATAGGAACTTCATAATAACATACTCTTTAGGTAGGGAAGAGCCTTTGGTTAAAAATGTAATTAACTCTCATCAACTATTAAAGGAGAATGTATGCTCATGTAACGTACTTCTATATGGGTAGACAATGTCACCCAGATACAGAAAAATTGACATCTAATAAATTTACATTGTACACAAATCCAGGCAATTAATTCTTCAATGCTATCATTGTCTAGTCTAATCATTCATGCAGTACCAAATACCTATATGTGAAAAGAGAGTTAAGTAGGATATCAAGGAGGAGAATAATGAGGCTTGTAAGAAAGCTCAATGAAAGTCTAAAATACAAGACTTTGCATAATAATTTTAGACCATGGGGTGAATTTGCAGATAAAGCCAAGGGTTCTACAAAAATAGCACTTTCATCTGCTAAGGGAGAAAGGTGTGATTTAGCTGTAACAAATCTCTCCACCTTCCCCCAAGAGGAAGTAAGGAGGTGGGAATGCTTATACGAAGCAAGGGAAGAAGCTGCCATCCTGCAGAAGACTGACTCACCTGCAGAACTCTTCCTGACAGAAAGTTCTCTCTGCAGTAATTATAACTTGCACGAGCGCCTTCTTTGGTGCATAGCCTCCAACCCTAAACACCAGAGAAAAAAAGCAAACTGAACTTGAAGTGTGCATTGTCTTGGGGTCAACGTAGACACTGACGGCTCTAAATTTAGGATCCTATAAAAAGTCAGTCACACGTGTTTTGTCCTCACCTTATATGCCTGGAGAAGGGCCAGATAATCACTGTTTGCTAATGCAAATTCCAGCTTTTTCTGATTGGCTTCTTCCCTTTTATCCCAGGGAGACACCTAAATAGAAATTAAGATTTGAGAGCCACGTTTCATCGGAGCTTTTAACTAGCACTGTCCTACTGTGGGTGCCAGGTGCTCGGGAAAACAGTCTAAAACAAAGCATACTTGTTTTGTGGCTGACTAACTGCAATTAGGGTGTTCTTGCAAACTCAATTTTGATCTGTCCTTGTGTTTCTGTCCACCCACAATAAACTAGTGTGGATCTTTGACTTCGAGCTGGCAAGATTCCACCAAAAAAAGCCACACTTAAAGATGGTATCAAATCCTAAATGCTGTAAGTTATTAGCCCTTTGACATCTTCAGTTTAGCAGATTTTAGGAGAATCACAACATTCAAGTCTAAAAGTATTTGAATCCCTCCTACTCTCACAGTCATAAGTAGTTAATGCTTTTTTTTTTTTTACTTTCACGATATCCCCTGGTGCCTGATCTTCATTCTTCTCTCTTTTTTCAATATCTGAAGTCTTAATCCTCTTTGTATTCTATCTAGATTACTTCTCTCAGTTTTGCAGAAGTAGCCTACTTGTAAAACAAATTTTTTTTTATCCAGTTTAAAAATTAGGCATTTAATCTACTTTTCATTCTCTAACAAAAGAAAACATTCTAATTGAAGAAAGCCAAGAGGAAAAGGTTAACATTTTGGAAAATAACGTTACTCATATAGTACTAGCAAAATGACAGTCTTGCTATGGGTCCCTAATGTTTGCTGCTGCCAATACAAATGTTTCTCAATGTAATGTAACAGTATTAGAACAAAAGATAATGGTTTATACGTGAGAAGTATAGTTGAACTTTGAGGTGAAGGATTCATGCTATTAAAAGTATCATCTGAATGTTCATCTGAGCTGAAAAGAAAGTATTCAATCAGTCTGAATCCCTGTCTGTGCAAACAAGCCTTTGTACCACATAACAGTATTCATTGAGGAATCTAAGCAATAGTTTTTATGGCCACTCAAGACCATACACAGAATTTAGATCCTGTCATTTTACAGAAATATTGTCCAGGCTACAATACTTACAAAAGGGGACTTAAAGGCCAAACTAGCTGCAATTGTTAAGGCAGGATCCAGGCAACGGAAGATGGCACCAAACAGCATGAGCTTGCCAATTCTCACATCCACAGGTAAAGAGGCCAAATGATACCCCAAGGGGGTCAACTTTTCATCTGGAGTTAAAGCTCCCAAGTCTTGAAGTCGTACTTTAGAGGCCCGGAGAGACTCGATTCGAGGTGGCTCAATGAGTTGAGAGAACACAGACTGAAGGCTGTGATCAGTAAACATCTCCAAAATTTTAATTCTTAAAATGGAAAGAAAATTATTCATCAATCTAATGCAGACCATTGTCACTGATGGAATGATGACACAGAAGATTGAATACTTTTTCTCCTTAAACACAAAAATAACATTTAAGTTCCCAGATCACCTCTCACATGTTTCCAATGACCAAATTACCAGCTTCAAAGGCCACTTTGGGTCCCTGATGAGGTTCTCCTGGAAAGAGTCTAAGCTTCAGAAAACTTCAGATTACAGTGAGGAGAATCTTCCCTCTCAGTGTTCCAAATGCCTCAGCTCTCCCAGTGAGCACAAACAGGGAGCTGATTCCACTTAATTCTCACATATCTCTTAAAGCAATTATTGTCTATGTAACTAATACGGCAACTCAACAGTCTACCTTGTGGAGAGGTGTGGCTTAACGGTTAGAGAGTCAGACTTAAATTGAGGAAGACCTAGATTCAAATCTCCTTTCTGCTCTGAGCAGTGTTCTGGGCAACACTCCAGGACTCAAAATTGCAGAGAAGATACTGAAAGAAGAAATTTCATTACCTGGAAGTTCCCTATACTGATGAAATCATAGGTCCAACCCCTAAACCTATCCCTATATGCCTTGTGATAGACTGTTTTGAACTGTTACTTAAATGATTTGTTGATTTTTTAACCTTTCACATGTTTGTGTTTTGTCTTCTCAAGCAGGCTGTAAGCATCTTAAGTTACTGTCCTATGTGTCTTTGAATCCTCCAAATCACCTTGTTCAAAACAGCTGTTCAATACATTTTTGGTTATTTAATTTATTCTTAGAAGGCTAAGCAAATATGACCAAACATTTCAAATTTCTGACATTTCAGATGAAAATCCTCAACTTACTCATTTTTTTCTTAAGGTCTATTTTATCCATCAAGGTTCTTTCAAAATGGGTTTCATTTAATATAATCATTTTGAATGAAGCCTGTCATAAATGGGCTACTTTTACAAAACAAGGGACTAAGGTCACTTAAGAAATAAGGCAGAAGCACCCCTGAGGAGCTTCTATATACCTCAGCATATAGACCTGACACATGAATTAGTTCTCTTATGCCAATATGGGTCAAAATTTCTTCCTTTTGGAAAAAGAATGGTTATAACCAAGTCAATCAGGAGAAACTGAGAACACTCAGAAGCAGACTACAGATATTCAGGTGTACCTGAGACACAGCTGTTCCAATGGCACTCTCTGTATTTCTGGCAGCTGCTGTTTTAAAAGCTGATAATTGTAGTGATAACTGGTGAATAAGTGGAAGCAGACACCAGAGGCAACACGCCCTGCTCGGCCTTTTCTTTGCAGAGCATTAGCTCGAGACACAAAAGTATCCTCTAGACTTTCCATCCCTTTGCTTGGATCATACCTATAACAATGAAGGAAAAGAGTGACCCTGGGAAAGGATGACCAAGACTTCACTTGCGGATAGAAAGAAAGGACTGTTATTTTGAGAGTGGAATATAATTTTCTTTCTGTTATAGTTAGATGTTGAGGAAGCACCTATTGTTAGACATTATGCATAGAGACCATTTCTGCATATGTGAATATGTGAAATGATGACACATTTCCATAAGCCACAGTTAGAGGTGTCTCATTACTTTAAAGTCACACCATATAAAACCCATTCTTTTACTCTTCACACCTGGTCTAATTCTGTCCAAGTTTGATAGGTAAAATGGCTTTACATTCTGTACAGCATTTTAAATATTCTATGATTAACAGCACGTTAATGGAATTAACTACACTTTAAATAAGGGAAAAGCATCCCCCTAAGATTACTGGATGAGAAAATCTGATTTTTTTTTTAACAAATTTTTGTTTCTTAAAGTTCCTATGGTTCTTTATTAAGTGGTGCTTAAGGCATAAGTTAAACCTATAGTTTCAAGCATAATTAAAATAACACTTGGCAGGGGCTGGTAAGGTTGCTGAGGATTTTTGGGGGAGACATAATATAAATATGTCCATACTTCATCTGGTACACAAAGGCAGGAACAGGGCTCTAGTTAAAATGAGGAGAGAACAACTGCTCTGGGGTCCTGTGCCCTATTCACGCACCAACATTTCTTTGGCCCCTTCACATACCCCTGTCTTACTTTGTGCCAACCCACACCTGAAATCACTGAAGGAGGATACCTCTTTTCTTTCATTTTCCCAGAATCGATTACATAGACAACATCATCGATGGTAATAGATGTCTCCGCAATGTTGGTGGAAATGATGATCTTGGTTACTCCTACAGGAGGTTTAACAAACACAATCTGCTGCTCTTCACTGGACAAAGACGAGTGAAGTGGAAGAGTGATACACCTGAAAAGAGACAAAAACAGCTAGCACTGGATTAAGAGAGCCAATCCTTGTTCACAGACAATTCTCATGAAAAACTAACATCGTGGCTGTAACCAACAGCACCTGCTTCTAAACCTTTTCTCAAAGTGCAGATGTTTGAGTGGGAAGCTCTTTCTGATCCCTCAGTATGTATCTGCTCAATTATTTGAACTCAATATTTGAGAAGTTTACCAAATTGAGGAAGAAAGTATCTTATTTCTTATCCACCATAAAACTTCAGAAACAATATACAGCAATTTTTCTCCTTCATATCATTAGTTCTGAAGCTCACAAAATGCAAATATTGCATTTTTATATTCATTCATCAACTACCTTTCCCTCAGATATTAAAACGTCCAATAAAGAATTTTTATTCCTACTGCAATTCAATAAACATTTATTAAGCACCTACTATGTGCCACGCACTGTGCTAAGTGCTGGAGATACAAAAAAGGCAAAAGATAGTCACTGCTCTCAAGGAGCTTACAGTCTAATGGAAGAGACAACATGTAAACACATCTATACAAAGCAAGCTATATACAGGAGAAATAAGAAGTAATTAACAGAGGGAAGGCACTGGAATTAAGAGGAAGGCTTCCTGTAGAAGGTGGGATTTTAGTTGGGACTTAAAGGAAGCCAGGGAAGTCAGTAGGTAGAGTGGAGGAGGGAGAGAATTCTAGGCATCAGGGACAACCAAAGAAAATTCTTGGAGCCAAAAGATGGAGTGTCTTGTTTTGTAGAACAGCCAGGAGGGCAGTGTCACGGGACTGAAGAGTACATGTTGAGGAGTAAGGTATAAGAGAGTAGCTAGGTAGCAAAGTGGAAAGAGTGCTAGGCCTGAAGTCAGGAAAACTCATCTTCCTGGGTTCAAATGTGGCCTCAGACGATTACTAGCTGTGTGACCCTGGGCAAGTCCCTTGCCCTGTTTGCCTCAGTTTCCTCATCTGTAAAATGAGTTGGAGAAGGAAATGGCAAACCATTCCAGTATCTTTGCCAAGAAAACCCCAAATGGGATCGTGAAGAATTGGACATGACTGAAACAAGTGAACAACAATATAAAGGTGTAAGAAGACTGGAGAGGTGTGGGGAGACCTAAGTTATGAAGGACTTTGAATGTCAAACACATCATTTTGTATTTGCTTCTGGCAGCAAGAGAAAGCCACTGGAATTTATTGAATAGGGGGATGATCAAATTTGTGTTTTAAGAAAATCACTTTGGTGGCTAAGTGGAGGATTGACTGGAGTAGGGAGAGATTTGAGGCAGGCAGTAAGCTATCGCAGTAGGCCAAGTGTGAGATGATGAGGGCCTTTGTACCTCATGTGGTGCAGTGTCAAAAGAGAGAAGCTGTTTGGAAGGTGAAATCAACACGCCTTAGCAACACCTTAGATATTGGGGGCTGGGGGTGTGTAAGAGAGATAGTGAAGAATCCAGGATGACTCCTAGATTGTGAGCCCGAGGGACTGAGAGGATGGTGTTGCCCTCTACGGTAATGGGGAAGGTAAGAGAGACAGGGTTTAAGTGAAAGATAATGAGTTCTCTTTTGAACATGTTGAGTTTAAGATGTTGGACATTCAGTTTGAGATATCAGAAAGGCAATTACAAATGCCAGACTAGAGGTCAGCAGAGAGGTTGGGGAGGAAAGATAGATTTGAGAATCATTAGCACAGAGATGATAACTGTAACCATGGGAGCTGATTAGATCACCATAAAAGTAGATAGGAAAAGACACTGATCAAAATATCTCTCTGAAAACTGACTCCTATCCCCTGTAATTGAATCTGGTTTGCCTTTCTCTAGGCAAGGAAGTGCTAACCGAAAGTGGCTACTGAAAGTAGGTTCAGCCAATATGTAGGGCAAACAGATATATTTTATTAACAGAATGGGAATAAACTGACTTTCTGGAGTGGAAAGATTTTTTTCATTAATAGTTGGCTTTTATAAACACATAAATATGTGGGGAGGGTAGGTGTCTAGTAAGATCTTCATCGTAGTTGTAGAGTTGGAGGGAGCTTCAAAGACTATCTGTCTAGGCCAACTCTTTCATTTGACATATGAAGAAACTGAGGTCCAGAGTTACTATGAAGTTTTTATTAAGCAGGCACTGTGATAATTCTAGAGATATAAAAAATGCAAGTACAATAGCTCCTGCCCTTAAGGAGCTCACATTCTAACGTGGGAAGACGCACAGGGGAACTGGAAGGAGATGTGGTGTGGGGTGGGCCTGACAATGGCGTGGCTCCCGAGACCCCAGCAACATAATGCAGAAGCTAACCCAGGGGTGGGGAACCTGCAGCCTGGAGGCCACATGTGGCCTTCTAGGTCCTTGGGTGCAGCCTTCTGACAGAGTCCAAGTTTTACAGAAGCAATCTTTTTATTAAGGGGATTTGTTCTGTGAAGTTTAGGTTAGCTGCTAATCTGTCAGGTCCAAAGGATGCAGAGGCAGAGTCCAGGTTATTGGTGGGGAGGTTATAGCTCGAATAGAGGTAGCATGATTAGAATGAGATGGGAAGCGGTGGAGGGGCACACACTGAAGAACTAATTCATCGGGATGCCTACTCAGCTACATACAATGCAGCAGCCACAATTATATTTTATTCACTTTTTTTTTCCCAGCGTGGATAATTTTGAGTGGTCACTCACGCTGCTCTGTATTTACCAAGGGAGGCTTTGGAGTATTTCTGGTTGATTCAATATGTACTGGGTCATTTTCAAATCAGAACATTTGCGGAACAAGACCAGATAGGAAATCCTTTAATGATTCTGAAATGAGTTCAGCAGACATAGAAAAAATGTTGTTATCTTGCATGAAATATATTTTCTTGTTTTGTTGAAAGCCATAGTTGACACAGACTTGAGGAAATGGGGCATACGTTGTTTTTTTAGTCTCTTCCAGTGCCCAGGACACTGCTTTCTGTGGACATACTGAACTCTGAATGAATCGGTGTCGAATAGCAGGATGGTATAAGTGTATTAACTGTTTAGGTATGTATATTTGTATACCTGTTATTAGAGGCACAGAAATCTACAAAAAAGAACACTGGGCTTGGAATTGGAAAATTGGAGGAGTCCTACGTAGGCACTTACTAGTGGTTCAACGCTTCATCTTTCTAAACTTCAATTTCATCATCTTTAAAATGGCGACAAAAACTTGCACTACTGACCTCACGGTGCATTTGTGCTAATCTAATTTTGTAAACCTTCAAGTGTCAATCATCCATTCAGAAAACATCCAAGGTTACACAGGTAATTAGCATCAGAGGTGAGATTTGAACCCAGGTTCTGTAACTCCAGAACTAGTACTCTTTCTCATTATCTTATCTAGTTGTAGTATGATGGAAAACAGAACTTACCGCTTACTACGTCTGTTGTTGAAGAGAGGATTAGACTGTAGCTGTTCATAAAGCATTTTAATTTCTGCTAGTCCTGGTAAAAATACTAATACAGCACCTAAATATATGAGAATTATTCTGATGAAATGTGAAGGAACTAAGACCAATTTGTAACAATAAAATGTTATGAATTCATCAGTTTTAAGCAACAAAGTCATAATTAGCATTTTGAAAATCTTATAATTTGTATTCTTTAGATTATTTTTCTCTCACGAGGGCTTTGGGAATTTTAAATAACAATCTATATATCTGCATATGACTTCAATTAATAACCATGAATGTTCCCTGGGACCCAACATCCTGACAAATAAAATCCGGCAAGGACAGCACAGGCCATCTAGTTGAACCCCCTCATTTTACAAATGAAGAAGCTGAGGTTCAGAAAGGTTAATACCTTGCCCAGAGTCACACAGCTAGTGAGTGTCCGAGAAAGGATTTCAATACAGATCTTGCTGACCGCAAGTCTGTTACTCAATCCATTACACCAAGCTGACTCTTTCTAAATAACTGGAAAAAGAGGCACGAAAAATGAAATGCCTAAGATTACCCTTGTCATTAACATGTCATTAACATGAGTGGGAGTTACTACCAACCCTTCCCTTCAGTCAAATATTAACTGAACACCTATGGCACTCCTGGTTCCCTGCTAATAATATCTGCCCTCAAGAAAACAATCATCTGTTTGCCACTTCTCCCTAATGGCAAACATGATAGTGGATTATGAAAACATAAAGTAATAAAAAGTCAAGAAGATTTCAAAATGCCATAGAACTAATTCTTAGCTACAACTATCTTCTGTTATGTGTGTGGCTATTCCTTGATCAATTTCTATTCGACTACTATTCAATTTTTCTTAATGTTTTTGACAAGAGATAACACTTTCGTCGTACCTCCCACTTTTGCTAACTCTATCCCAATACCGACCTTCCTCTTTCATAACAATGAAAAAAAAATGTAGTCTAGTGAATTTGATTACTTCAGATCTATCAAGTGTGCAATTATAATGGAGACTATTACCTCTTTTGCCCTGGACTCTGTATTTCTATTAATGCTATCAGAGAATACCACTTTTTTGGCAGTCATGTTACACTGCTGACTCATACTGATGTTGTAATTAACAAAAGGTTGAAGTCTTTCATATTAATATGTTAACACATATCTTCCTCATCCTGTAACTGTACAGTTAATTTTTTAATACAAATACAGGATTTTAGATTATTGAAAATAAAACCTTCCATTGACAAATATAAGATTTCAAATATTAAAATGAACAAAAGAGCAAGAAAAAACAAAATTTTTAAAAATTGTATTCTTGTCCATAAACTTTTGTTTCTTACTGTTAAACATAGAACAAATTATGTGTATATTGTCTTTAAAACAGTAAATCAACCTGCTTGTTTCTGTTACCCCTTTGGATATTTTTTTTGGTGTATTTTAACATAGATTTATTGTTGCTACTGTCATTAATTACATAGTTGTCACATTATTCATTGGATTTAACTTTTTGTTATGATTTGTTTCTGGAACTGGACTCTGTCATTTAGTGTAATACTGATTCCTCTTAGCTATGTGCCATCGAAAAAGCAGATAGGTATTTAGGCACTATAGAGTGCAGACATGGGCAGAAGGAAGAGCTAAAACACAAGTTAGCCGATTTAGTTCATCTTATTAATGTTCACATTACCATTTTATTAGAGGAAGATATAAAACTTAATGGCTAAAGTAATGTTTTGGGGCCATTGTTAATTCCATTCCTTCCTTCTACATCTATCTTCCATTATACTACAACTTTATACCTGCTTTTGCTATTCTTCTCATGTGTGTGTACATGTGTGTACATGTGTGTATGCACGCGCATGTAAAAAACACAAATAGTGAAATTACCTGGTGGGTATGTGTGCATTCCATCCACAATCCATTCTAGTAAGGCCTCTATTAATTCAAGGTTAACCTTTTCTAGATCCATGACTGACATTGTTTTGATTACAGATTTACTAAACCCTGAAAAATGAATAAAGGCCAACAGAATAACACAAATCAGTATTTCAATGAATTTCAATCATTTCATAAAGGGGCAAAGTGGTCCAGGTCAGAAACAGCAGCTCAGCAGTGTGATCAGGTCCATGAATAATTATATATATATATATATATATAAAATATATGTATGTGTAAATCATATGTTTATATATATTTTACTTAGTTAAAATATATAAATTTATAATCTATTATATACATATATTATAATACTTTAAAATATTTATTATGTATCTGTCTGCCTGAAAGAGGGACTCACTATTGACACATTGATTTCTTCAGTTAGAAATAAGGAACATCACAGAATATTTGAGCTGGAATGGACATGTTAGTTTATCTAACTGAATTATTTTATTGTATTTTTTTAAAATTCTGAACTTAACACCAAATAAATGAGCATTTCTATATAGATTACAAAAAAAGGAGAGGATTATATACATGAAATTGCAAATCTCTATTATGTAAAGCTTATAGAGTATATAATAAATTCAACATAAATTGAATGTTATCTCTTTCTGCTTGTATTTGTATCCCCAGTGCTTTAGCACACTGCATGGCACAGCAAGTACTTAATACAACAGGTTTGCTGACATGGAACCTTTAAATTTGTTTTACTTGTGTGTGATTCCTTCTTATCTTCTCATTTGTAGGGAGGCAGCAAAACTTTTCCCCTAGTCTCCCTCTATCCTTTATCCCCCAAACTGACAAATAAAACCCTTGTAACAAACAAGCAAAACAAATGCCCACATTGGGCAGGTTATGAATGTGTGTCTTCTTCTGCATTTTCAGTCTATCACTTCCGTATCTGTCAGATGGAGAGCATGGTCCCTCACTGGTCCTTTGAAATCATGGGTAGTCATTACACTCATCAGTGAAGTTGTTCAATGTTATTCATTTTTGCATTGTTCCTATTGTATAAATTCTCTTGGTTCTGCTTATTTTACTTTGCATCAATTCACACAAATCTTCCTAGATTTTTCTAAGACTGTCCCTTTCATCATATATATATGTATGTACGTGCGTACGTACGTATGTATATATGTATGTATGTATGTATTTTTTTTGGTAAGGCAATTGGGGTTAAGTGACTTGCCCAGAATCACACTAGTGAGTGTTATGTGTCTGAGGTCGGATTTGAACTCAGGTCTTCCTGAATCCAGGGCCTGTGCTCTATCCTCTATAGCATGTAGCTGCCCTCAAACACTTGATCTCCTATTTCCTTTTTTTTTTTTTTGTTTAATGAGGCAATGGGGTTAAGTGACTTGCCCAGGGTCACATACCTAGTAAGTGTCAAGTGTCTGGGGCCAGATTTGAACTCAGGTCTTCCTGAATCCAGGGCCAGTGCTCTATCCATGCACCACCTAGCTGCCCCCCCCTTCATCATATCTTAAGGCTTAATAATATACCATTATATTAATACACTATAATTTATTCAGCCATTCCCTAATTGATAGGTACTCTCTTAGTTTACAGCTCTTTGCCACGACAAAAAAGAGAGCTGCTGTAAATATTTTTGAACATCTAGATTTTCTTTCTCTTTCTTGATCTCTTTGGGGTATAGTTCTGGTATAGGGCATAATTCCAAATTGGTTTCCACTCCACCAACCATGCATTAATATGCCTGTTTTCCTGTGGCTCCTCCAACATTTGTCAATTTCCTTTTTTGTCATTTTTGCCAGTCCAACAGGCATGAGGTAGAACCTCAAAGCAGATTTAATTTGAATTTCTCTATTAGTGATTTGGAGCATTTTTGTCTTTTGGTTGTTGATAGTATGGATTTCTTCCTCAGAAAATTGCCTGTTCATATCCTTTGATCAATGGCTTTTGTTCTTATAAATTTGATTCAATTAATTAACATATGATGTAAATAAGAATCTTTTATCAGAAAAAAACTTGATACAAAGATTTTTTTCCCCCAGTTAATTGCCTTATACTTTTAGCTGCATTGGTTTTGTTTGTGCAAAACCTTTTAATCATAATTATCCATTTTGTCTTCTATGATCCTTTTTATCCCTTTTTGGTCATGAACTGTTCCCCTATCCATACTGTGAAAGGTAATTTCTTCCTTGCTCCTCTAATCTGTTTGTGATATGATCATTTATTTCTGCCAGATATCCATTTGGAGTTTATTTGGGTAGATGGTGTGAAATGTTGGTCTAAACTCAGTTTTTGTCAGACTATTTTCCAGTGTTCCCAAGCAGTTTTTGTTGTCCTTACCCCAAAAGCTGTGGTCTTTGGGTTTAGCAAACAACAGGCTACTATGTTGGCTTGCATTTGTATGCAGTGTACCTAATCTCTTCCATTTGTTGACCTCTATTTTCTAACCAGTGTCTAATAGTTTTAGTGATTATTGCTTTGTAACATATTTTGAAGTCTGGTACTACTGGGGTACAACCAGGCCCCTTTCCTTTCCACTTGCATTGTCATTTTTATTGTATTGGTTCTATCTATTCATAAGCAATTAATTTTTCTCCAATTACCTAGGTCTGCTTTTGTAAAGAGACTTCTAGAGGTGTATTCACATAGTTCTTGTGTGTGTGCTAGTAGGCAGACAAATATTTTATTCAATATTTATTTTGAATGGAATTTCTCTTTGTTGTCCTGAAAGACTTATAGTTTATATGGATTTGTTTTATATCTTGCAAATCTACTGAAACTGTTTCAATTACTTTTTTTAGTTGACTCATTAAGGTTAGTAAACTATGACATTATCTGTAAAAAGCAGTAATTTTGTTCTTTGCCTATGCTTATTCTCTCATTTTCTTTCTTGTCGTTTTATTACAGCTAGAATTTCTAGCACCATATTAAATAGTAGTGGTGATAATAAACATACTTGCTTTACCCCTAAACTTATTAGAAAGGTCTCTTAGTTTACTCCCATTACAGAGAGTGGTGGCTCTTGGTTTTAAATAGATGCTATCTACCACATTAAGGGAAATCTATTTATTCCTATGTTTTTGGTGTTTTTAACAGAAAAAGGTGTTGCATTTTGTCTAAAGTGTTTTTTTTCACATTTATTGAGAAAATGTGATTTTGCTCATTTAAAAATTAATATAGTCTACAGTTTTTGTGGTTTTTCTAATATTGAACCAACTCTGAATGCTGGTTTAAATATAATATGGTCAGAGTATATAATCTGTTTTGACATGTTGCTGTAACCTCTTAGCTAATATTTTATTTAAAATTTCTATGTCATGATTCATTAGGAATATTGTTCTGCAATTTTCTTTCTGTTTTATTTATTCTTGGTTTAGGGATTTATATCATAGAAAGAATTTGGTAAGTGTCCTTCTTTTCCTATTTTTGCAAACATTTTACATAATACTATAATTAACTATTCTTGGGATATGTACTAGAATTCACTTGTAAATTCACCTGGTCCTGAGACTTCCCCCTCCCCTTTTGGGAGTTCATTGATGGCATGTTCCATTTCTTTTTTCTTTCTTTTTTTCTGAGACTGGGTTATTTAAGTTCTCCATTTCTTGTTCTCTTAGATTTGGTCATTTTATATTTTTGTAAATATTTGTCTGTTTCATTTAAGTTGTCAGTTTTATTGGCATAGACTGAAAAACAGTATCTAATAATTTCCTTTATTTCTGCTTCACTTGTTATAAATTCTCATTTTCCATTTTTGGTACTAAATCATTGTTGGAGGAAAAAAAGAGGAGAAAGCAACTTTAGAGATTAAAATAAGTTCATAAACACTCTGGAAAATATATTACCTGGATAGCGGGCTGTGAGCTGCTTAAAATTTAGTTGTTGATCTGGCACCGAATCCTTAACAGAGCTCTCATCCAAGAAGTGCAGGGAACGCCTCAGGTCCTCCTCTACTTCTTCAAATGCAGTCCTGTTGCGTCTTGCTTTTCTTTCCTCTGAACTTAGCTTCGTGGAACGCATATATGGGCTACCATCCTCGATCACATACCTGAGGAACAAAAGCAAATGGGAGATAGATGTACCAATCACAGTGGCCTCTGGCCTGTGCAAGCCTCCTGACAATACTGCTTCCCCAGGAATAGGAGACTGTAGCTCTGATCTGTGCCATATCTTTCCCTAACCACACTACTCTTCCAAAGTCCTTCTGGTTGCCCTCAATTTTGTCGAGAAGCAAGTTGGGCAGGTTCATTCAGCTACCTTTAAAAATTTAATTATATAGCCTGTAGTAAACTTGAAGAGTTTATATATGTTAAGAGCCATGCCTGAAATCTAGCTCTGTCTATGGGGAACAGGCCCATCTGGTGAAGCTGCTAGAACTCACAAATATTACAACTAAAATCACTGTATTTACATTAAAAATAACTGTAAAAGACCACATTAACTCTGTTTTGGTTTAAATCAAGATGCCCCATTGCACCACCTCCAACCCTTGCAAGATCTTAATCCTTTAATTAATTTAATGTTGCCTAATTTCAATTGATAAAGTTGTTAGATACTGCTCTTGTCAAATGCATTGATGAGATGTATGTAGTTAATTTAATTAAGGAGTAGAAAATAATGCTGGTAATAACAAGTGTTCTCTTTGGTCTAGATTTGGAAAGTCAACCTTGTCCGAATTGGGAGAATTCCAAAAAGTACAGGAAGAACTAGATTTTGATATGTTTTGTAATCATAAATACATGTGTATCCATAAAATTGATATTAAGCAGGTACACTGAAACTAAGGGTCTAATCCTGCTTGTGCTACTGAATTTCAGTAGTACTTGAGTATGCCACTTCAATGGTTGCCATCACAGTTTCCTTTGTTTGGGTCCAGATCTCTGATTTCATTGGTGTAGGGAAGACCCTAGTAAGGAAACTCTTTCCACCAATGCAGATCAACAACTGTTCTTCAACTTATACATACTCTTAGAGCTGTATGGGACACTAAAAAGTTAGTATGTGTCAAAGGTCGGAATTTAGGTCTTCTGGACTCTGCAGCTGGCTTGCTAGCCACTAAATGATGCAGCCTTATTTTCCTTATAAACAAAAATCTCTGACCTTCTTTACATATTATAATGAATTATTAAATATTAGCATACCACTTGTCCCACAATAAATTAAAACTCAGAAAGTTGTATTTAAATAAAGTAAGTTTAAAATGTACTGGGGAAGCTAGCCATTTACAAAAATCTTGCTGTGACTTTAAAAAGGATTCTTCATTTTATAAAACTCACTCCCTAACTTATCTTTTGAGGGAATATGGATTTTTATACCAGATTTGCCTAAAGAACTAGGGGATATTAAGGAAAAAGCACAAAACAGAATTATATTCATGATATCAGCAATAAATTGGAACTGGCCTGAAGATGTGATAGATTCAAATATGAGACCACTTAAAATTAAGGAGCATATGTAATTGGAAATGTCAAAATTTGGAAAAGGAGGACACTAATCAATAATAAATGAATGAAGGATTGGCATACTACTAGATAATGGCTTGTAGAGGGAAAAAAAAAACCAAAAAAACCTGTTTTTTTCACTGGTTTTCAGCAAACCTTAATATATTTCTTACTTAGTCATAGCAATTGCATCTTCCAGAAAAAACTGATCAACAGGAAATGTCCGGCCTACAAAGAGAAAATAAATATGAAAAGAATGCCTCTTGGTTGAAGTAAGCTCTTAGAAGGGTGCATAGTTTTTCTGTGTAAAGGCTAAATCAACAACAGGCTTACAATATCTTAAATGGTTTTTGAAGGGATAAATGGATGTGAACATAATTTTCAAAAGAAAAAACACAAATTGTTTATAAACTATTAAAAAATGTTCAATCTCATTAATCATCAAAGGTATACAAACTAAAACCACTCTGAGGTACCACCTCATTATGAATCCATCAAACTGGCAAAAATAATGAAAAGCAATGAAACTCAATGGTGGTAGGATTATGGAACACAAACAGGTACTCTCATTCACTGCTAGTAGCAGTCCAAAGCAAAAAGTAAAAGTTGCAGAAATAACTCCTGATTCTAGAGTATCACTGTTGGAAATATACCCTGAAAGTGGAATTTTTAAAAAGATAGTTATCTGTTCGCTTATACCAGCATTATTTGTAATTGCAAAAAAAAATAGAAGCAGCCTAAATGCCTAATGATAGGAGAATGATATAATAAATTGTTTATGGACTCTACCCCAACTAAAACAAACAAGTATGAAGAGTATCAAGAAATCTGGGAAGAAATTTATGAAAAAACACAAAACAAAAAAGTAAAACTTCAAGAACAGAGAACAACCCTAGCTGTGGTCACATAATAAGAAAAAGGAATGTGAACAGATAAAGAATCTTGATGGAGTCTTAGAGGAAGTAACTGAAAAACTGACATTTTGTTTGTAAAAAGTCATTTATTTACATGTAAACAACTGCAAGGAAAGACTTGTTGACTAACATTTAATGTTAAATTTATATTGTCATTATTTATAAGGTAAGTAAAAAATCCATTAATTTTACAAGCAGATCATTTATTAATTTTTGTCAGGTCAATAGCTGAAGGCTGTGCAGCACTGCACAACAGGGGGCTGATGAAAATATTTGAAGGATAAAAAATTGGGGGTATTTATTTGCCTGCTATGATTAATACTTACAAAAGCACATGGCCAACCTTAAAGCACTATGGAAATATAAGATTATTATTATTCATGATTCTATTCCTTTTCTACTTCTATGGATATTAGCAATTTATCTGGAAGAAAAAAATATATTTAGAAATAACATTTACCAGACCCCACTTTACATAATGGCTACAGAACCTCAGGAGAACAATTTATGCAAAAACAACCTTACAATAAAAACAAAAACTTTGAAAGCTGTAAGAACTCTAATCAATTAGATGATTCCAGGAGATGGATGATGAAGCATGCTATCCACTTCCTGAAAAGAGAGGTAGGTGATGCACTCAGGGTACAGAATGAGATACATGTTTTTGGACATGGCCAATGTGGGAATTTATTTTGCTTGACTATGCATATTTGTTATAAGGGTTTTATTTTTCTTTTTTTCAGTGGTGGGGGGTAGGAGTGGGAGGGAGAGAGAACTGATTATTGTTCATTGAAAAAAATCATTTATAAAAAGAACTGTAGGTTGTAATATTTTATTGACATTCAATTGGATATCTCCTAAACCTGTTTTAGGTCCTTTTCTCTTCTCCCTCTATACTGTCCTGCTTGGCGATTTCATCAGCTCCCATGGGTTCAATTATTATCTCTAGCAGATTTATACATCTAGCTCTAGCCTCTCTTCTGAGCTCTAGGCCTGTAAGCATCTCAAACTCGTTATCTTCCCCCTGCCCATCTGCCCCTTTCACTTAACCCTCCTCTTCTTTCCAGCTTTCCTGTTACTGTGGCAGGCCAACATCCCTCCTCTCAATCTCCTGGGCTCCGAACTTCAGCTCTTCACAGACACTCACCTAAACATCCAAACTACGGTAATTTCTACCTTCATAGCACCTTACATGTGTCCTCTTCTCACATAGCAACCATCCTAATCCAGGCTCTTGTCATCTCTTGTCTAGGCTATCAAATAGTCTTCTAATTGGCCTCCCTGCCTTGAGTCCTCCCCCATTCCAATTCACCTTCCACTCAGGAGGCAGCTCCTATGCCAAAGTGATTTTCCTGGAGCAAAAGACTGAGCCTGTCAGTGCTCCTCCCCAGCTCCACCTACTCCAACTCAATACACTCCAGCAGCTCCCTAAAGCCTCTAGAATCAAATATAAAATACAATTTGACATTTAAAGTCCTCCACAACACGACCCATTCCTACATTTCCAGTCTTTTTACAATTTACTCCCCTCCATGCCCTCTGAGATCCAATCTCACCAGCCTTCTTGCTGCTATTTGCACAGGCTGCCCCACCATGCCCAGAATGCTCTCTCCCCTCACCTCCCACTCTGGGCTTCCTTGGCTTCTTTCAAGACCCAGTTCAAATCCCATCTTCTGGAGGCCTATTCCAATCGCCTCCCTTTATTTTCCCTTTCTCATCCTTGCTGGTCCCTTCCGTCTGAGATTGGCTTCCATTAATACCACACACACACACAGCCACAGTCACCCTTATATATAGAGTGCAGTTATTTGCATGGTCTCTCTGCCCCTCTCTTCCCTTCCTTAGAATGTGAGGCTCCTTGAGGGCAGGGGGCCGTGTTTTTGCCTTTCTTTGTATCTCCAGGGCTTAGTATGGTGCCTGGAATATAGTAAGCACTTAAATGCTTGTTGACTATCTCTCTACTATCTATTTTTCCATAACTGAACACTCATTTGATTTCAAGGAGTCAAAAGATTCACTATATAATATTGGATGAGTTATTTAACATCTCTGAGTCTCAATTTCCCCATAATTTTTTAAAAATAAAAATTGACAGTGAGCCTAGAGGAACAATAATGCTCTTTCCTTTCGTTTAATTGTGCATGGAATTTTTTTTTCCAGTTAAGCAATACTTAAATATTTGAGTATGCAAGTCTGTGTCTCTGAACATATAACTTGTACTGATTTCTTACTTGCTGGGGGAATTTTCTCAGGAATCAGTAATGAGTCCTATGTCCTCCTTCCTATTGAGAAGTAAAGCTATTTGACTTGCTATCACTAAGGACCATGGCCTTTGACTTGTTTCTCACAGTAGGGATGAATTTGTACTGGTCCATCCACAGTTTTTCACTAAAGACACACATATGCAAACAAACAAACCCAAACAAAAACAAACAAACTCCCAAACCCTGAAGTTGGATTAACAGCAATTTAAGATTATTTCCTGAGCCAGCAAGAATGTCTTCATAAATTGGTAGCCACTAAAGTATCAAAAGTTTCTAGATAATTGGTAGTGAGTGAAACACTCATTCATTGCTGATAAAATTGCAAACTTGCAGAATCTTTTTTAAATTAATTTATTTTAGTTTTCAACATTCACTTCCACAAGATTTTGAGTTCCAAATTTTCTCTCTATCTCTTCCCTCCCCCCACCCCAAGATGGCAGGTATTCTGAATATCTCTTCTTCTAATCTGCCCTCCCTTCTATCTCCCTCCCCCTTTTCTTATCCCCTTCCCCTTCTATTTTCCTGTAGGTCAGGACAGATTTCTATACCCTACTGCCTGTATATCTTATTTCCCAGTTGCATGTGAAAACAATTTTTAACATTTGTTTTTAAAACTTTGGGTTCTAAATTTTCTCCCTTCCTTCCCACCCACCCTCATTGAGAAGGCAACCAACTTGATACAGGTTATACATGTGTAGCCATTGCAGAATCTTTTTGAGAATAGTCTGGCAGTATTCAGTAAAAGTTAGAAAAATAACCCTATCTTTTGACCCAATAATTCCATTTTGGTGGACATCAAACAACAAACAAAAAAAGCCTGGTCAAAGATTTGCAAAGCAGCATTTTACTTAATTGCAAAACTAGAAGCAACTTAAAGGTCCAACAACAGGGGATGGTTAATTAAACTGTGCTACAATAATATAGAGTAATACTATAATAAAATTTAAAACTATTTGTTGTTTGTTTTGTTGTTCATCATACTTTGTTCTCAGAGAGGACCAATGGCATCAGGAGGGTGACGTCTTGACTTGCAAGTGAACTGGATTTAACTGAGACAGAGCTGTGCAAAGTCATCAGCCTCACTCACTCCTCCAGAGTCATCTGAGTCCAGTCAAGATGACTGGCAGTGGCCTCAGATGCAGTGGGAGACCTTGGCCTTTTTAAGCTAAGGTCTTTCCCAGGTCTCAGTTTGTCTGAGGCAACATCCATTCAGTGATTAAAGGCAAGTAAGAACTGAGGCAAAAGATGGCCTAGTCTGCCTTTACAAAAGAATCAATCTGGGAAGGGAACACCCTCAGTTTCTGGCCAGAACAGAAACAACTGTTATTTACACTCACTCTGAGCCATCAAACCCAAACAAGAAACAGCTGAGATTTGGGTGGCAATCTACTGGCCAATAAGTGAGAGCCAGAGTTATATGGGTTTAAAGTAGCTCCATCTGAATCCCAATGGGCTTTCTCAAAGCCTGGTTTTCCAGAGGTATATTTCAAGAAATCATAAATGAAGACTACACAAGACAATTGATAAATATGAAGAATGCAATGAAATCTGGATTTTTTTGAAATGACACAAAGTGAAAAAGAAAAAAGTAAGACAGAGATTAAACTATGGGCACACAAAAGGAAAAGTGAATAGAAATGAGAAGAGAAAGGACACTGATAGGGACTTAAGGGACGGGCCTGGAGGATGGTTAGGGCACCTCCGCATTAAAATCAATTAAAAAGTGAATCATCACTAGCAAGTTTGATCAGGTTTCTTGATGTTTAGTATTAAGTTTTTAGTAAAACAAAAAACAAGTACAGGATCTTGAAGTTATGAAATAAAGTTCAACTAAATAATTCCATTACATCAAATATTTTTAAAAAATGCTTTTCAATAATGACGACAGGAAGGTGGGGATTGGATGGCAAGTAGCCTTAACAAGGTGGGGACAATTACAATTTGGCCAGCTCACTCATTTTTTAAACCTGATAGACTCAAGGAATTTCTTTCAGCTAAGGATCTATCTGGAATCAAGTACACCATGCTGTATACTTGATATACTCCTAATCCACTACCAATATCTACTTTGGTCAGACAAATACTATTAACAATTTACCAATCAGTTCTTCCAGACCATTCCTTTGGAAAAAAATTCCCAGAGAAGTTAAAACCCAGAGACAATAAGTGATCTGAAGCAAATTAGCATCAAGATATCTAAAAGGTATTCTAACTATGCTATTTAAGAGTACCAGAATATTTTCTAAATTCTGTGATCTTTATAATTAAAGCACATATTATAACAAGATAGCTTCTTTCTATGATAAAACTATTTTAGGTTGCATATTAAACATGATGGGGAAGCCAAGAATTCTAAATAATTGAGAATTTAAATCATAGATGCAATTAAAAATTTCTAAACTAGGGGTAATATTAACATGTCAATTTCATAAAATGCCTATAGTTTGACTTTCTGCTAACATAATCACTTCTTACCCAGAAAAAAGTATCAATATATTTCTTTAGTGAAGCACAATTTAAAAATATTTTGTACATATTTAGGCACGGATAATAATACAAAATTTAAGAATATATTTTTTCTCACCTGGTATATTAATAACTGGGCAGGAATTAAAGTATTCTGAGAAAAGCTCAGCATTCAAAGTGGCACTCATCAGAACAACACGAAGATCTGGGTTCTGTAACATAACGTCCTTCAAAACTAGCAGCAAGAAATCACTAAAGGGAAGAAAAAAGATGCCCATATGGCAACCAAATCCAATGTCAAGTATTTATTCCATTCAGATTTTCCTCTTTTTTTATTCATGACTATTACCTTGCAATAGAAACAGACTTCCCAATAGGCACTCATTGTCATGTTCTTTTTCCTTTTCATCACATTTATTTCCTTAAAAACTTTATAACCTTTACAAATTCAAACTCTGCAAATTTGAAAATGACTCTAAATGAGTTACATGTCCCAAAGGTGGTTTGACAATTTTTAAAATAGCAACCCTTTAAATTTGTTTCCCACATTTTAGTATCTTTGTATTTTCTTTTCCTTTTTTTAACATCTGTCTTTTCTTCAAACCCACTTGTGTTTTTGATATTGTGGCCATTTAGGCCTTTTATACATGTATTTTACTAGCTATTTTCTTTTAGGAAGGAGGAGAATAATTTATTTAAATTTTAAGGATGTGGTATAGTAGAGTCTGAATTTAAACCCCAACTTTGCCACATTTACTGGGTGTGTATCCTTGGGCAAATTCCTTCACCTACCTGAGTTTCTGTTTCTTCATTGCACTACCTGCCTCCCTAACCAAGTGGTTGCTTAGATCAAATGAGAAGCTGTAGGCAGAGACTTCTCTGTTTAGTGTATAAAGCTCTTCTCAACTACAATCCACCTTCCCAATCTAATGGTCTATTAGTCATTCTGTGGCATAGCCCTCACATACATCATCCCATCTCTCATCTCTGTCTTTCCACAGGTGGGGTGTTCTCCCTGGCCTTGTCCACTCCAAGTTCTGTAGAGTTTTTAAAAAGCAGCTGTGGAAGCTGCCCCTTTCCTGACCTTGTTCATCCCAGGACCCTAGAGAATAAAATCCCAAGTCTACAGATGTATGGCTAGTCAACTCCCACCCTCATGTTTCCTAATCCCTATGATTTAGGATCACTGTCTGTTGATGCAAAAATCCTTTTCCCGGGGCAGCTAGGTGGCGCAGTGGATAGAGCTCTGGCCTTGGAGCCAGGAGGACCTGAGTTCAAATCCAGTATCAGACACTTGACACTTACTAGCTGTGTGACCCTGGGCAAGTCACTTAACCCCGATTGCCCCACCAAGAAACAAACAAACAAAAAAAAAAAATCCTTTTCTCTTGCTATGTCTTACTGCAGTCCTGATCCACCCTCCTCTGTCTCTTCAACTGTAATGAATAGACTACCCTTCCATTCTAGGGCTCTTTCATCTCATTAAAAATTAGACCTCTCTTGATGTTCAGTAGATCTCTCTGAAAGACACTGCATTTCTGGACGTATCTGAGGTTCAGACTGCTCCTTCCCCACCTTGATACAATAAGTCAGGCAGAGTCAACATACTCCTTTTTCCCCATGGCCCCTTCTATCACTTTGCCACTACAATTCATGCTTTCTTTTCCCAATCTGTTGCCAAGTCTTTCCATTTTGACCTTTGTGACATCTCTTGTATCTGCCCCCACTTTTCTACTCTGACATTGATAGCATCCTAGTGCCAACCTTCAGCATCTCTTGCCTGGACTATTGATGTAACTTGCTAGTTAAATCCCTGCCTCAAGTCTCTCTCTCCTCACTCCAGCCCATCCTCCACTAAGCTATGCAACTGATATTCCTTCCCTAATTGGTAGTCAAAGGATATGAAAGGCAGTTTTCAGAGAAAGAAATCTAGCTATCACAAGTCATATGAAGAAACGCTCTGGATAACTAATAATTAGAGAAATGCAAATTAAAACAACTCTAAGGTTCTACCTCATACTCATCAGATTGACAAAGTTGACAAAAAAAATGACAAATGCTAGAGGGGCTATGGAAAAACAGGTACATTAATGCATTGTTGGTGGAGCTGTGAACTGGTCTGACCATTCTGGAAAGCAATTTGAAACTATGCCTCCAAAGTTACTAAACTGTGCATGCCTTCTGACCCAATGATACTGAAACTAGGTCTATACCCCAAAGAAATAATAAAAGAGAAGGACCCATATGTACAAAAATATTTATAGCAGTTCTTTTTTTGTGGAAGCAAAACATTGGAATCTGAGGGCATACCCATCAAAGGGGGAATGACTAAATAAGTTATGCTATGAATGTGATGGGATACTAAAAGGCATGGTAGTTTCAGAAAAGCCTGAGAAGATTTGTATGAATTGATGGCACGGTGAAGTAAGCAGAACCAGGAGAACAATCTATACAATAACAATATTGTAGAGATAATCAACTTTGAAAGACTTTGGAATTCTGATCTACACTATGATCAACCACAGTTCCAAAGGACTCATGATGAAGCATGCTATATACCTCCAGATAAAGACCTGATAGACTCAAAGTACAGACTGAGGCATATTTTTTTTATCTTTTCTCTCTCTCTCTCTCTCTCTCTCTCTCTTTTGGGGACATGTCTAATGTAGGAATTTGTTTTGCATGACAATATATACTAGTATTGGGTTTTATATTTCTCAATGGGTAAGGAAGGGAAAGGAGGAATAGAGAGAATTCAAAACTGAAAATAAAATTGAATGAAAAAAGACGCTAAAATGCTAAGAAAGGGAAGTAAGGAAGGAGTGGCAGGGATGACCCATAGTAAGTCACAGCGATGCACAGTGACAACTCACAGGCTGATCTGAATGGAATAGGGAATTCACAGAGGGAAATGATATGAATTAGGCCTGGAGAGGTAACTGGGAGGCAAACTGTAGAGGACTGTAAGTGCTAGTCTGAGGTGTTCATATTTTACCCTAGAGGCAACTATAGAGATGGCATAATCAGATCTGTGTTTCAGGACTATCAATTGAGCAGACAGATGGAGAATGGATTGGAGAGGGAAAAGACTGGAAACAGGGAGACCAGTCAGGTACATACTGAAATAGTCAAGGCAAGAGATGAACTAGAGTAGAGGCGATGTCTTTAATAGCTATAGCTTCTAGAATAAAAGATAAACTCCTCAGCCTAGCACTTGAAGCCCTCTACAATTTGGCTCCCACTTACTTCTCCAGGCCTAAAGTATGAGTGGAGAAAAGGGGTGAGATGTGAGTGTTGTGGAGGCAGAATCAACAGGATTCAGGAACTGATTGAATGTGGACTTTTTTTTACGTCTTCAGCCTCCTGCACCATCTCTTCCTCCTGGTTACACTTTTTTCCTTTGGTTTCCATGACTGATTCTCCTGTTTCTCTTCTAAGCTGCCTGACCACTTCTTTTCAATCTTCTTTGCTGGACCACATTCCATTTCCTGCCTTATAATCATGAGTGCCCTTCAAGGTTTTGTTCTGGGCCTTCTTCTCTCTTCAGTTTTCTCCCTTGGTGATATCACCAACTCCTGTGGGTTCAATTAGCATGTCAAAGCAGGTGACACTTATAAATCCAATCTTAATCTCTATAGAACTCATCCTAAATTGCCAAGTACCTATCAGATATCTCTCTAATTGAATGCCCTACTGACATCTCAAAGTCAACATGTCCAAAACAGAACTGATTACCTTCCACGCTAAATATGCCTGTCTGCCAAACTTCTCCATTTCTGTTGAAAACACTACCACCCTTCCAATCATTTAGTTTCCTAAATTAAGAGTTATCCTGGACTTTTTCTTCTCTCAACCGCATATCCAATCAGTTGCCAAGTTTTGTCTATTCTAGCTCTATAAAATCTCTCTTGTCCATCTCCTTATTTCTACTTATTTCATGCTCCCATCACCTCTCATCTAGTAGCTTCCTAACTTACCCCCTTGCCCCCAATAAACTTCCTAATGCAGCAATTTGACTGTGCTCCTCAATGGTTGTATAAAATCCTCAGTGGCTCCCTGTTGTTCTAGGATAAAAGACAAACATCTACCACAGCCTTCTGCCCTGTATTACATTACTCCTCATTGTGCACTCTGTCTCTAACAAACTGGCCGCCCCCAAACTTCACGTTTGATCTCCCACCTCTGTGCACTCATATAAACTGCACCACCCTGCCTGGAATACACCCTCGTTGTCTCCGCCTCTCATGAAAGCACAGACTATGTACCAACACCTTTGTTGATGCCCTCTGACTCTCCTCCTCCATACATGTTAGTGCTTCCTCCTCCTCCAATTTATATTTTATCTTTATATCTGTGTACATGCTACATCTCCTCAGTAGAATATAAGCTCTCTGAGGGATAGGGACATTTCGTTTTTGTCTTTGTCTTTCTAGGTCGTCCTCCTCCAATTGCTCATGGTGCCACAGAGGTGGCCCTGGATTTTGTTTTGTTTTTTTAAAATTTAATAGTATTTTATTTTTTTCCAATTACATACAAAGACAATTTTCATATTCAATTTTTGAAAGATTTTGAGTTCCAAGTTTTTTTCCCTTTCTCCCTTCCCCTCCCTCCCCAAGATGGCAAGCAATCTGATATAGGTCAAACATGTGCAATCACAGAAGACATATTTCCACATTAGTCATGTTATGAAAGAAGAAACAGAACAAAAGGGGAAAAAATTTTTTTAAAAAAGTGAAAATAGTAAGCTTTGATCTGCATTCAGACTCCATCAATTCTTTCTCTGGATATGGATAGTATTTTCTATCATGAGTCTTTTGGAATTGTCTTGGCCTTGGGTTCTTGAAAGCAGTGGCAACAGAGAACAAGGCCCAGCAGGCTCTACCATGCTGAAGGGCTTGCAGTGCTAGCCTAGTGATATCTGTCATCAAGGACTAGCTTAGCTGACGCTGGACAGGAGCATCCTCACATCTCTCATGGGGTGAAATCACAGATTCATGAAGCAAAGGTCATGAACACCGCAGGCACTTAATAAATGCTTGTTAAACTGAATGTATTCAAGATTATCCCTGTCACTAAGTCAGAATAGTCTTGCCATTCCACTTTGCTGTGGTACCTCTTTTTTTGTTTTGTTTTGTTTTTTCTGCTAGGCAATGGGGTTAAGTGACTTGCCCAGGGTAACACAGCTAGTAAGTGTTATGTGTCTGAGGCCAGATTTGAACTCAGGTCCTCTTGACTCCAGGGCTGGTGCTCTATCCACTGCACCACCTAGTTGCCCCAAGGTACCTCTGTTTTGGTTGGGGATAGTTACATGACTTCTATTTTGGTGCCTCTCCCCTTTTCCAATTATTTTAAGAGAGCTCTGAAGCATGCCCTGAACCCCGGACTACATCACGTAATAGTCCAACTTCTTTCGGAACAACTAACAACTCTTAAATGATTAAAAGACATTAAGAGAGTTAGCCGGTGACTGGGGCAGAATGAAATGTATCAAGCATGGCATTATGCCCAAGTAGATTTTTTTTTTGTTTTTAAAAAAATATATATTTATAGGGTAGAGCCAAGATGGTGGAATAAAAGCAGTTACTTGCTTGAGCTCTCCCCCCAACCTTTCCAAATACCTGTAAAAAATGACTCTAAACAAATTCTAGAGCAGCAGAACCAACAAAAAGACAGAGTAAAACAAATTTCCAGCCCAAGACAACCTGGATGGTTGATGGCAAGGTCTGTTGTGCCGGGCTGAAAGAGGAGAGCAGTTCAGCGTGGGCTGTGCAGGCAAAGACGGGGCCCCAGAGAACCTGGAGCAGCCCTTGGAGGACTGAATCACGGGCAGTTGTGGTGGTTTCCAGACTTCTCAACCCACAAATGCCAAAGACAACTTAGAAGGTCAGTAGGAAAGATCTGTTGGACCTGGGTAACAGAGGAGTGTGGTCCAGCACCAGCCCTGGTGCAGGTCTCAGCCCACAGATGGTGGAGGGATAGAGCAGCTAATCAGAGGGGGACTGCAGGGATCTCTTTGTTGGCCCTGAGGCAGGATTCTCTTGCTTTGCCTGTGCTTGGATCTGGGTCGTGGTCCTGGGTGGTGGTCCTGAAGCAAGGAGGAGTGCTACTGTGGTGTAACTTGTGCCTGTGGCGGAGAAGGAATCCTCCTCGCAGTTCCAAGGCAGAAAAAAGTTCTTGTGGTCACTCATAGACCACAGCACAGTCCAGGAATGGAGTAAATACCTCTCCTTTGATCATACCACCTTGGAAAAACTGAAAATTTACAGGTCCCTAGAAGTATCTCTGAAAACAGCTGCACAAAACCCCTGAAGCTTGGGACAGTACACACTCCACATTGGAAGCAGAGCCCTATCTTAACAAAGAGTTTAAAAAGTCACGTAATTGCCTGGGAACATGAGCAAAAAGAGGAAAAAAACTCAGACTATAGAATCTTACTTTGGTGACAAAGAAGATCAAAACATACAACCAGAAGAAGACAACAAAGTCAAAGCTCCTACATCCAAAGCCTCCAAGAAAAATATGAATTGGTCTCAGGCCAAGGAAGAGCTCAAAAAGGATTTTGAAAAGCAAGTAAGAGAAGTAGAGGAAAAATTGGGAAGAGAAATGTGAGTGATGTAAGAAAACCATGAAAAATGAATCAACAGCTTGCTAATAGAGGCCCCCAAAAAAAACACTGAAGAAAATAACACCTTAAAAAATAGACTAACCCAAATGGCAAAAGAGGTCCAAAAAGTCAACGAGGAGAAAAATGCCTTAAAAAGCAGAATTGGCCAAATGGAAAAGGAGGTCCAAAAACTCACTGAAAAAAGTAATTCCTTAAAAATTAGAATGGAGGAAATGGAAGCTAATGACTCTATGAGAAATCAAGAAATTATAAAACAAAACCAAAAGAATGAAAAAATAGAAGACAATGTGAAAAATCTCATTGGAAAAACAGCTGACCTGGAAAACAGGAGAGATAATTTAAAAATTATTGGACTACCTGAAAGCCATGATTAAAAAAAAGAACTTAGACATCATCTTTCAAGAAACTATCGAGGAAAACTGCCCTGATATTCTAGAACCTGAGGGTAAAATAGAAATGGAAAGAATTTATTGATAACCTCCTGAAAGAGATCCCAAAACAAAAACTCCTAGGAATTTTACAACCAAATTCCAGAGTTCCCAGGTCAAGGAGAAAATATTGCAATCAGCCAAAAAGAAATAATTCAAGTATTGTGGAAACACAATCAGGATAACACAAGATGTAGCAGCTTCTACATTAAGGGATTGTGGGGCTTGGAATATATTTTGGAGGTCAAAGGAGCTAGGATTAAAACTAAGAATCACCTACCCAGCAAAACCGAGCATAATCCTTCAGGGGGAAAAATAGACATTCAATGAAACAGAGGATTTTTGAGCATTCTTGATGAAAAGACCAGAGCTAAATAGAAAATTTGACTTTCAAATACAATACTCAAGCATGAAAAAGTAAACAGGAAAGAGAAATCATAAGGGATTTATTAAAGTTGAACTGTTTACATTCCTACATGGAAAGATGATATTTGTAACTCATGAGACCTTTCTCAGTATTAGGGTAGTTGGAGGGAACACATATATAGATAGAGGGCAAAGAGTAAGTTGAATATGAAGGGATGATATCTAAAAAATAAAATTAAGGGGTGAGAGAGGATTCTACTGGGAAAAGGAGAAAGGGAGAGGTAGAATGGGGTAAATTATCTCATATAAAAGAGGCAAGAAAAAGCTTTTACAGTAGAGGGGAAGAGAGGGGAGGTGAGAGGGAATGAATGAATCTTACTCTCATCTGATTTGGCTTAAGGAAGGAATAACATACACATTCAATTGGGTATGGAAATCTATCTTACCCTACAAGAAAATAGGGGGGAAGGGAATAAGAGAAAGGGGGATGATAGAAGGGAGGGCAGATTAGGGGAGGGGGTAATCAGAAACAAACACTTTTGAGGAGGGACAGGGAAAAAAATGGAAAAAACAGGGAGTGCAATAGAATGGAGGAAAATATAGTTAAGTCTTTCCCAACATGACTATTACAGAAGTATTTTGTATAACTACACATGTATAATCTATATTGAATTGCTTGCCTTCTCAATGAGGGTGGGTGGGAAGGGAGAGAATTTGGAACTCAAAGTTTTAAAAATGAGTGTTAAAAATTATTTTTATGTGCAACTGGGAAATAAGGTATACAGGCAGTGGGGTATAGAAATCCATCTTGCTCTATAGGAAAACAGAAGGGGAAGGGGATAAAAAAAGGGGGGGTGATAGAGAGGGCAGATTGGGGGAAGGGATATTCAGAATGAATACCATTTTGGGGTGCAGGGAGGGGAGAGAGAGAAAAATTGGAACTCAAAATCTTGTGGAAGTGAATATTGAAAACTAAAAATAAATTAATAAAAAAAGGATATAAAGTGAAAAAATATATCTATGTATACATAAAATATATATTATAATGATGATGTTGACAAGTAGCTATCTCTACCATCATAACCTTCTATGATGAAGGAATCTTCACTAGAGTAGATGTGGCCAGTCTAGCATTTTCAGTCCCACAGAAACGAGATATTACGTCTTGACATAATCTCCAGCCTGGGTCTTCTTTATAGCACTCTATAATTACTAGTGTTATGAAGCTGACCTAGGAGTAACTTTCAACTATGTCCTAATTTTATGCAATTGTGCCTCTTACCTTTCTTCTGTTCTCTCGTGAACTTCATCAACAATAATATGGGTGACTCCCTGGAGAGCTGTGTCTCCTTCCAGTCTTCTCAGCAGCACTCCTGCAGTGCAGTATAACAGTCTGGTAGCTGAGGACTTAAATGTAAAAAGACAAAAGACAGATACTTAGTCAGCTAAAAAAAAAAAAACAAAAAAAACCAAGACATAAACATCAAAAGTTCTGCTATCCCACAGCCCTGAATAGGAAGGGATACAAACTAATAGAATAACCAGAGTACAATATGGAATAGGAAAAAGCACTGGCTTGGCAGTTTGCGTAGTTGGGCTGGAGTCCTTGGGCTTTGACACCAACTCTGTGAATCTAGTCAAATGACTAAGTCTCTAGGTCATGGGACTCAGTTTTCTCACCTGTAAAATGGCAATAATAATATCTGAATGCAGTTATGAGAAAAAAATTTTGTGAGCCTTAAAGCACTAAAAAAATATTAATTTAATTAATTAAAATTAAACTAATTAATATTATCTGTAAATTGAGATGACTGAACTTGAAGGGCCCTTATAAATTAGCATTCTCTATCATTTTATTCTGTTCATTTACACCTAAACTTAACTAATATTTTTGCTGTGAATACTGTTCTACCTCACATAACAATTTCAAGTCTAAAACAAGAGTATTATAAAATACAAAATACAAATTACAAATATAAAATACAAAAGTACTATAAAACAGACAAGTGACTATAGCCAGTAAATACAAATCAGAATTGAGCTGTTTCTTGTTTGAATAAGGTCAATAAATCACTAGCCCAACAAAAAGCAAAAAATTAAAATTAAAAAAAAAAAAACAACTGATTGGTAATTTCTGTCAGTGAAGATTAAAAGACCCTAAATAGGGTTGTGCTTCTGGGAGCCAAGAGGGCAGAGTGAGAAATAAGTTGCTCTCACCTTCCATTATTAACCTCTGAAAGCCCAGAAAATATCACCCCAGGAAAAACCCTGGAACAACTGAACTAGCAGAAAGATGGAGTGCAGCAGTCCTGTAGCCCAGGAAGCTTGAGGGATTAACAGGAAAGACCCGTCTTGCCCTGGGGAAGGGGGAGCAGTACAGAATGATAGACATCCCAGCAAGCTGGCAGAAAGTCCCACCTTAGCATACTAGGGGGAGATCCTGAACCCCAGGTGGTAGAGCAGGCAAACACCAACACCAGGACCCCCAAGTGCCTCAGAATGGGCAGAGGAACCAGTGGAAGCAGGCTTGGAAAATCACCACATGCCATGGCATTTACTGGTAGCCGAGTCTCCCACTGCCTCAGCAAAACTCTGGGAAGCACATCTCCAAGAGGGAAAGCTACAGGCGTAGAAACATCCTGCAGCAGTGAAACATCCATCTACGTGGAGCCAAAGAAAGGAGAAAGGCCCAGGTGAGCAGGCATCCTCTGGGGCCAGACTCCCCACCCCTACCCCCAGAGCTCCACTGTTGCTGATTCCAGCCCAACACCGGGTAAGCTGCCACAACCCTACAGCCTCCAACTGCCAGCATCTGAGGCCCCAGCACACAAAGCTAGTGACCGGGCCCCGGGCTCCCAGCACAAGAAGCTTGGGTCAGTGCTTCCTGGTCCCCAGCAGGACAACTCAATTTTTTTAAAGGCCAGGAAATAAGCAAACACCATGAGCAAAAAGAAACGTACAATGACCACAGATTCTTATTATGGGGACAGTGAAGATCAAAGCAGAAATTCTGAAGAGGACAACACTGTCAACAAACCCACATCCAAAACCCCAAAAAGGAATGTGAACTGGTCTGAAGCCCAAAAAGCCTTCTTGGAAGAGCTCAAGAAAGATTTTAAAAGTCAAATAAGAGAGGTAGAAGAAAAATTGGGAAAAGACATGAGAGGTATACAAGAGAGAGTCAATAGCTTGGAAAAGGAAGGATAAAAATTAACTGTAGAAAACAAGTCCTTAAAAAAAAAATGGCTAAATGGAAAAAAAACACACTGAAGAAATCAAGTCCCTAAAAAATACAATTGGCCAACTGGAAAAAAAAAAGTACACTGAAGAAAACAACTCCTTAAAAAGCAGAATTGGCCAGACTGAAAAGGAGGCACAAAAACTCACTGAGGAGAAGACCTCCTTAAAAAGTAAAATGGGCCAAACGGAAAAGGAGGTACAAAATCTAATAGAAGAAAACAATTTGTTAAAAAATAGAATTGGGCAAGTGGAAATTAATGACTCTATGAGAGAGTGAGAAATCAGTCAAACAGAAACAAAAGAACGAAAAAATAGATGAAAACGTAAAATACCTCACTGGTAAAACAAATGACCTGGAAAATGGATCCAGGAGAGACAATTTAAAAATTATTGGTCTACCTGGAAACCACAATGTAAAAAAGAGCCTAGACAGCATTTTTCCAGAAATCATCAAGGAAAACTGCCCTGAGGTCCTAGAACTAGAGGGTAAAATAGCCATAGAAAGAATCCACCAATCACCTCCTAAAAGAGATCCCAAATTGAAAATGCCAAGGGATATACTATAGTAGCCAAATTCCAAAATTACCAGGTCAAAGATAAAATACTGCAAGCAGCCAGAAAGAAACAATTTAAATATCATGGAATCATAGTCAAGATTACTCAGGACCTTGCAGCTTCTACATTAAAAGATAGTAGGGCACGGAATATGGTATTTGTAAGGCACAGCAGCTTGAATGTAATTTTTCAGGAGACAAGATGGACATTCAATGAAATAGGGGACTTCCAAACCTTCCTAATGAAAAGACCAGAGATCAACAGAAAATTTGATCTTCAAATATAAGACTCAAGAGAGACATGAAAAGGTAAACAGGACAGAAAAAAAACAAAAACATGTTATTAATAAGGGGAAACTGCTTACATCCCTACAAGTGTAGTTGACACTTGTAACTCTTGAGAACTGTATTGTTATTACACCAACCATTTTAAAGGAGTATACATAGACAGAGGGGGTGGGTATAGGTTGACTTTGATGTAATGATAAAAAAAATCTAATTAAGTGGGTTAAATGGATCTAAGTAAGTGGATTAATTGTATCTAATTAAGGGATTGTACTGGGAGAAAAGGAAAGGAGGAGGCAGACAAGGGTAAATTATGTTACAGGAAAAGGCACAAAAACCTATTACATTAGAGGGAAAGAAGGGAGGGAGATGAGCATTGTTTGAATCTTACTCTCATCATATTTGGCTCAAGGAGGGAATAACATAATCAGTTAGGTATAAGAGGGAAAAGGGGAAAGAAAAGGGAGGGAATAATTGGTAAAAGAGGGGCAGCTAGGTGGTGCAGTGGATAGAGCACCGGCCCTGTATTCAGGAGGACCTGAGTTCAAATCCGGCCTCAGACACATAACACATACTAGCTGTGTGACCCTTGGCAAGTAACTTAACCCCATTGCCTAGCCAAAAAAAAAAAAAAAAAAAAAGAAGTGGTAAAGGGGAAGAAAAGGGAGCGGGCTAATAGAAGGGAGAGGGGACTGAGGGAGGCGGTAATCAAAACCAAAACACTAGTGAGGAGGGAAAGGGAGAAAGGAGAAAAAAGCATAAAGGGGGAAATAGGATGGAGAGAAAGATAGAGATAGTAATCATAACTGTGAATGCGAATGGGATGAACTCTCTCATAAAATGAAAGTGGATAGCAGAATAGATTAAAAAACTAATCCTACAATATGTTGTTTACAGGAAACATATTTGAAACAGAGGGACACACACAGGGTAAAGGTAAAAGGCTGGAGTAGAATATATTATGCTTCAGCTGAAGTTAAAAAAAAAACCAGGGGTAGCAATCCTGATCTCAAACAAAGCAAAATCAAAAATAGATCTTATTAAAAGAGCTAAAGAAGGAAACTATATCCTGCTAAAAGGCACCATAGACAATGAAGCAATATCATTACTAAACATATATGCACCAAGTGGTATAGCATCCACACTCTTAGAGGAGAAGTTCAGGGAATTACAGGAAGAAATAGACAGCAAAACTATACTAGTGGGAGACCTCAACCTCCCCTTCTCTAAACTAGATAAATCTAACCACAAAATAAACAAGAAAGAAGATAAGGAGATGAATAGAATTTTAGAAAAATTAGATATGGTAGACCTCTGGAGAAAACTGAATGGGGATAGAAAGGAATATACTTTTTTCTTGGCGGTACGTGTCACACACAAAAATTGACCATGTACTTGGGCATAAACACCTCATAATCCAATGCAGAAAGGCAGAAATATTAAATCCATCCTTCTCAGATCATGATGCAATAAAAATTATATGTAATAAATACATATGTAAAAATAATTTTACATGTGTAAAATATCTGTAAATATAAAAAGTATATATTTACATATACACATAAAGTATATATGTAAAATAAATACATAATTACATGTAATAAAGTAATAAAATATGTAATAAAGGAAAGATAGACTAAAAATTAATTGGAAACTAAATAATCTAATTCTAAAGAATGAGTGGGTCAAACAACAAATCATAGAAACAATCAATAACTTCATTCAAGGGAATGACAATAATGAGACAACATAACAAAACTTATGGGATGCAGCAAAAGCAGTTCTTAGGGGAAATTTTATATCTCCAAATGCTTACATGAATAAAATAGAGAAAGAGGAGATCAATGAATTGGGCATGGAACTAAAAAAACTAAAAAAATCCTCAATTAAATACCAAATTTGAAATACTGAAAAACCAAGGAGAGATTAGTAAAATTGAAATTACGAAAACTATTGAACAAATAAAACTAAGAGCTGGTTTTATGAAAAAAACAAAAACAAAACAAAACCCAATAAAATAAACCTTTGGTTAATTTAATTAAAAAAAGTAAGAAGAAAGCCAAATTACCAGTATCAAAAATGAAAAGGGTGAATCCACAACCAATGAAGAGGAAATTAAAATAATAATTAGGAACTATTTTGCCCAACTGTATGCCAATAAATTTGACAATCTTAGTGAAATGGATGAATATTTACAAAAATATAAATTGCTCAGATCAACAGAAGAGGAAATAAAATACTTAAATAACCCCATCTCAGAAAAAGAAATTGAAGAAGCCATTGATGAACTCCCTAGGAAAAAATCTCCAGGGCCAGATGGATTTACAAGTGAATTCTATCAAAATTTAAAGAATAATTAATTCCAATACTATATAGATGATTTGGGAAAATAGGCAAGGAATTTTATGATATAAATATGGTGCTGATACCTAAACCAGGAAGAGTCAAAATAGAGAAAGAAAATTATAGACCTATTTCTCTAATGAATAAAAGTGCAAAATTTTTAAATAAAATATTAGCAAATAGATTATAGCAACTTATTACAAGAATAATACATTATGAGCAGGTAAGATTTATACCAGGAATGCAGGGCTGATTCACTATTAGGAAAACTATCAGCATAACTGATCATATCAACAACAAAACTAACAGAAACTACATGATCATCTCAACAGATGCAGAAAAAGCTTTTGACAAAATACAACACCCATTCCTATTAAAAACACTAGAGAGTATAGGAATAAATAGAGTATTCCTTAAAATGATAAGTAGCATCTATCTAAAACCTCCAGCAAGCATCATATGTATCGGGGATAAGCTGGAAGCATTTCCAATAAGATTAGGGGTAAAACAAGGATGTCCATTATCACCACTGTTGTTCAATATGGTACTGGGAATGTTCGCTTTAGCAATAACAGAAGAAAAAGAAATTGAAGGTATTAGAATAGGCAAAGAAGAAACAAAGCTACCACTCTTTGCAGATGATATGATGATATACTTAGAGAATCCTAGAGAATCAAGTAAAAAATTACTTGGAATAATAAACAACTTTAGCAAAGTTACAGGCTATAAAATAAACTCACATAAATCATAGGCATTTCTATATATTACCAACAAAGCCCAACAGCAAGAGATAGAAAGAGAAATTCCATTTAAAGTTACTGTAGACATTATAAAATATTTAGGAGTCTACCTACCAAAACAAACCCAGGAACTACATGAACACAATTACAAAACACTTTTCACACAAGTAAAGTCAGATCTAAATAACTGGAAAAACATCAGTTGCTCATGGGAAGGCCAAGCTAATACAATAAAAATGACAATTCTACCTAAGCTAATTTACTTATTCAGTGCCATACCAATCAAACTACCAAAAATTATTTTATAGAGCTAGAAAAAATAATAACAAGATTCATTTGGAATAACAAGAGGTCCAGGGTATCAAGAGAACTAATGAAAACAAATTCAGGGGAATGTGGCCTGGCTGTTCCAGATCTTAAATTGTATTATAAAGCAGCAATCATCAAAACTACTTGATAGTAGCTGAGAAACAGAGTGGTGGATCAGTGAAATAGATTAGATATGCAAGACAGCAGTCAATGACTACAGTAATCTATTATCTGATAAACCCAAAGACCCCAGCTTCTGGGATTAGAACTCGCTATTTGATAAAAACTGCTAGGAAAATTGGAAAAGGGTATGGCAGAAACTAGGCATAGACCAAAATCTCACACCATATACCAAAATAAAGTCAAAACGGGTTCATGATTTAGATACAAAGGCTAATACTATAAGCAAACTGGGAGAGCAAGGAATAATTTACCTGTCAGATTTATGGAGAACAGAAGAATTTATGACCAAACAGGAGAGAGAGAACATTATGAAATACAAAATAGATAATTTTGATTACATTAAATTGAAAAGTTTTCACACAAACAAAGCCAATGCAACCAACATTAGGAGGGAAGCAGAAAATTGGGAAAGAATTTTTACAACCAGTCTCTCTGATAAGGGCCTCATTTCTAAAATATAGAGAACTAAGTCAAATTTATAGGAATATATGTCATTCCCCAATTGAAAAATGGTTAAAGGATATGAACAGGCAATTCTCAGATGAAGAAATTAAAGCCATCTATAGTCATATGAAAAAATGCTCTAAATCATTATTGATTAGAGAAATGCAAATCAAAACAACACTGAGGCACCACATCACACCTATCAGATTGGCCAACATGACAAAACAGGGAAATGATAAATGCTGGAGAAGATGTGGAAAAATTGGAACACTAATGCATTGTTGGTGGAGTTGTGAAATGATCCAACCATTTTGGAGAGCAATTTGGAACTATGCCCAAAGGGCTATAAAAATGTGCATACCCTTTGACCCAGGAATAGCACTTCTAGGGCTATATCCCAGAGAGATCATACAAATGGGAAAAGGACCCACATGTACAAAAATATTCATAACAGCTCTTTTTGTGGTGGCAAAGAACTGGAAATTGAGGGGATGCCCATCAACTGCGCAATGGCTGAACGAGTTGTGGTATATGAATATAATGGAATACTATTGGGCTATAAGAAATAATGAGCAGGCAGACTTTAGAAAAACCTGGGAAGACTTGTATGGACTGATGCTGACTGAAGTGAGCAGAACCAGGAGAATGTTGTACACAGCAACAGCTACATTGTGTAATGACTAACTTTGATAGACTTAGTCCTCAGCAATGCAAGCATCTAAGATATCTCCAAAAGTCTCATGATGGAAAATGCTATCCACATCCAAAGAAAGAACTATGGAGTTTGAATGCAGATCCAAGCACATTTTTTGCTCTTTTTTTTCTTCTGTTTTGTTTTCTCTTTCTTGTGGTTCCTCCCATTGGTTCTAATTCTTCCTTACAAGATGACTGAAGTGAAAACATGCTTAATAGGAATGTATATGTATAGTCTATATCAGATTGCACGCCATCTTGGGGAGGAAGGTGTGGAGGAAGGGGGAGAAAAATTTAAAACTCAAAAGCTTATGGAAGTGATTATTAGATAACTCAAAATAAATTAATAAAAAAAATCAAAGTGAAAAAAAATAAATAAAAGACCTCCATAGAAATAATAGAGATGTATCTGAATAATAGTTGCCTCAAATTTCTCTAAAAGCATTTCACAGTATTCTAAGGATGATTGCCTGAAGATTTATCATCCAATTTTCTACAAATCTTTAGATCAAAAGTATTCTTTTAAAAGTAACAATAGTAGAGGCAGCTAGGTGGCGCAGTGGATAGAACGCCGGCCCTGGAGTCAGGAGGACCTGAGTTCAAATTTGGTCTCACACACATAACACTCACTAGCTGTGTGACTCTGGGCACGTCACTTAGCCCCAATTGCCTCACCAAAAAAAAAAAAAGTAACAACAGTAAATATATTACCAATAAGTGGACAAATTATACAAACCTTGACACTCTCTAAGCGGATCTGGTATCCCACAGTAAGACCCATCTTTTCTGCTCTCTCTTTAGCCACACGTTCAGCTACGGAAATAGCAGAGATCCGTCGAGGCTGGGTACAGATGATGTTTGCTACCTTCTCAGGTGGCCCATGCAGAGTATCATCCAGAATAAATTGAGGGATCTGTGTAGTTTTCCCACATCTATATGAAAAAAGAGCCCCCCCCACCCCAAGCAAACTTTATATGAGAAAGTCTTAATTTCCGTAGTTTTTTCCTAGCTTTTCTCTAGAAAAATCAATAAGGGATCATATGTTGTGGGAAAAGGATAAAACCAGTTATACTTTTAGCTGTGTAGCTTCATCTCATTTATGAGAAAAAAGAATCTTTAACTTTTTAATTTATAGTTGCTAAACAAAGGATTAGGAATCTTCAAGTTAGAAGACCTCAGATGGAAAGATCAATCTCCTGACAAATCTATTTCTTTGGCTATAAAATGGGGGTGATGATCATGATAATGATAATAGCAACAACAATAAGAATGATTAGCATTTTTATAGTACTTTCAGGCTTGTAAAATGCTTTACAAATATTATTTCATTTGGTCCTTATAACAACCCCGAAAAGTAGGTGCTATTGTTTTCCCCATTTTACAGATGAGGAAGTTGAGGCAGACAGAGGTAAGTGATTTGCCCAAATAACCAATAAGTGCCTGGGGCTAGATTTGAACTCAGGTCTTCCTGACTCCAGGTCCAGATCTCTATCTACTGTACCACCTAGTTGCCTCTCTTTTTGAGGCATAACACTTCCGAAGATTATACTTTTGGCTAAAAGATTAGTTCATGTCTAAATGCACTAGAGACTATAAAGTGCAGCATATATTTCTACATAACAATATTATACTTAATTATTATACTTAATTACTAATCACTAAATATTTTTTCCCTTAATATTTATTCATTTAGATTTCAGGCAGGATGGGGGAAGCCATTGCAAATACCTCTGAGTCTTGATAAAATATGCTTATATGTTAAAAAATATATACTAAATTAGGTTCACAGTTGCTCAATACAAAATTAAGTTTACTTCTGCTCCTGGGTAGATTTCCCTATCCACCAGAGAAAGAAGAAACGGAAAAGATATCATATATTATGCCCAAAATGACAGACCTAGAAACCACAGAAAATCCTAAAGATGAATTCCTCTTCAAAATGAATACTCGGAAATTATTCTCTTTAAACTCAAATATGAGCCCTCTTAGGGAACCTTACCCTAAAAGTATTTCAATACTTAAAGTATTGTAAGTGGGCAATCCCTCCACCTATTCGTAAGCACTTGCCAGAAAGAAAATTAAAATAGCCCAAATAAATAAAAACCCCCACCAACAATATAGTGCCAACTTCTATTAAAAAACAACAATAACAACAAAAAACAGTTCTACTCTGATGAAAACAAATATTGTTTTCCTAGAATATAATTGGTCTAGGTTAACCAGGGGCCCTACCACAGTCCAACATTTAGATTAAATCTCCACTAAGAATACATCATGGGGCAGCGAGGTGGCATAGTGGATAGAGCACTGGCCCTGGAGTCAGGAGGACCTGAGTTCAAATCCGCCCTCAGACACATGATACTTACTGGCTGTGTGACCCTGGGCAAGTCACTTAACCCCAACTGCCTTGCCAAAAAACAAAAACCAAAAAACAACAACAAAAAATGAATACATCATACTCTTACCCAGTCATACCACTCACAACAAGCACTTGGTGCTTGCTCAGCAAATCAAGAATGGTTTCTCTTTCTTCCCAAGCAGGGAGTGATCGTCTCTCTTGCAGAATTGACTGGTATTGTCTGGAAGCCTAATATAATCCAAAGGTATCAAGATAATCAGGTTGTGCAATCATTATCCCACAAAGCCGTGAGGACATTAAAAACAGCCCACAAGAGAAACTCACTCCTTGGGTTTAATTCTTTGCCTGCTTTACCCAGTAATAGTTTCTCCATCACCTAAAGCAATAACAATAATAATCAAATTTCTTCACATAAGTACGGTTCTTGCACAATAACCTCATCTGGAGACCCGGCTCAGCATTAAGCAGCCATGGCGCCACTTTTGAACAACTGTGAATAGAGTTTTCTATCATCTAAGAAATTTATAAAACCCTATAATTTCCAGCATATCTCACTTGCATATATGTGTGACTTCTGAACAACTGAGATGTTCTATTCTTATTTTTAAAGGCTTGATTGCCTTGATATTTACAGTGACAACAAAAAACAACCTTCTCTGATTCTGAATGTTGACCTCACAATATACAAGTTAGCATTTTTCCTCATAATGTAAAATCATCAAGTTTTGAAGCTGAAAGGGACATTAGAGATCACCCAGCCCAACCGTTCCATTTTACAAACGAGGAAACATGGGCCTCAAATAGCGATACGCCTTGCCCCAGGTTATAGATCTAACTTTGCCATGGCAGTTTACTTAATAGCTATTGAAATCATGTGTGTCTTTCAGAAATTAATCTTTTTATTAGCAGATATCTAATTTAGGGCTAATTTTGTTCAGAGCATCACTTGGTCTGTTGTTGCACTAAAACCACAAGGTTCTAACAATGATTGGAATGTCGTAATCATCTATTACTATGTTCATTACCCTGTGGGTTAATATTCAAAGTCAGAAGAGAACCTCACATACAGAAAAGTTAAGCAGACCAAAGTGACCACAAGATGTGGGAAGGGGAATACCAGGCTTCCTTTCTTCTATCCATTATAAACTGCTGAGCACTGTTTTACCATACTCTACCTTTTTTATTTGAAACTGCTTGCAAATCCTAGCATTTTCAGCATATACAGACTTAGCCTGCCAATCATATCTCCTGGAAATCTTTTTCTTGAGGTTGACATAGCTTTCATTCTCTACCATAACTGGTGTAAGACCTTCATCCTCATCTTCCTCCTCCTCAAGTTCTGGTTCTTTCTTGACTAGATAGTAAAAAGAAAAAAAAAAGAAACATTTTCAACGTCAAGCTAAACTGACAAAGAAAAAGGGCACTGTCCAAGTAATAAAACAATTACATTTATAAAAATGGAGAGGGAGGAGGTAGGTTAAGGCTATGATAAATTTGAAAGTATATTCAATCAGATGCTTCTTTTCATTCCACTAAAAACTTCTGAAATAGTTAACTGTCTATAGACCTTTCTTTGAACATATCAGCTAAAGTAAGATTTAAAACCTGACAGTGAAATAAAAAATCAAGGCACTGCTTCTGTTGGAATTTTGGTAGCATAAAGAAGTATTGCTTTAAAAAAATGTATGAGCTATCACATGAAACCATGTGAAATAAATTTTATGTGAAAAGATCAGTTATAAAGAATGCATTCTTGAGGAGTCCATAGGGTTAGCAAATTAAGTGTGGCAAACATGTAGTTTACAATAGCAGTTCCCTTTAGAGATGGTTACTACAGCAAGCAATAAGAATAGAGGACTGAAGGTTTCACTTCAAGCAAGGGAAATTTTGCAGTGACCTGCAGAAAACACTGCTTCTTCTTGGTTCTTTGTTTGAAGCCTTCCAGGGAGAGTAAACTCATTGTCTTAAAAAGCAATGCATTCTACTTTGAGAGCACCATTAGGCAGTTTTTCCTTATGTCTCATTGTAACTTCTCCTTGTTCTATCCACTAGGGGCAAGCAGAACAAATCTAAGGTCACTTCCATGTGACAGCTTGTTAGACACTTGTCTGTCATGTTCCCCTAATGTATTCTTTTCTACAGTCAGTGCCTTCAACTGATCCTCATATGGCCTATGCATCGGAAGCCCTTCACTTTTCTGGTTACTCTTCTCTGAACACTCCCCAGTTTATCAATGTCCTTCTCAAAAATGGTGCCCAGAATTGAGCACAGTACTCCAGATGTGACCAGATGTGACAGGATGCTCATCCTCCTCTTCCTGGACACTATTCTTTTCTGCAGAGCCTAAGACTGCATGAATTTTCTTGGCTGCCATATCAAACTTTTTGCCATTCTTTAGTGTGGCATCCTCTTTCTCCTTCTATACAGTCTCAGTCGGTGACCTTCTCAGCTTCCCTGGGTTTAATGATCATCTCTAAACAGGTGATTCTCACATCTATACATCCTGCCCAATCTTTCTCCTAAACTTCAGTCCCATATTTCCAACCACCTATTGGATATTTTGAACTGGATGTCCCATAGGCAGCTGAAATTCTACATATCCAAAACAGAACTCATTATCTTTTTCCTCCAAACCCAATCCCCTTTTGAATTTCCTTATTTTCATCCTTTCAGTCACTCAAATTTGCAACCTTGGCATCATACTCAATTCCTTACTCTTTCCTACCACACATATCTAATCAGTAGCCAAATCATGTTGTTTCTACCTCTACAGTATCTCTTGAAAGTCCACAGCAGACCAACTTTATATTCTAAATGACTAAAATGTTCAGAGAATACAAAATCCCACTGTGCTTTTTTGTTGAGCATAAAAAAATTCGATTAAAAAAACAATATGTAGCATTAAAGACTATTGCAATATATTGCCTCTCATGCATATGTTAAGATCATACAGGTTTCCCATGAGTCTATAATTAAATCAAATAGATCTTTGGGGCAAATAAAATAAGTTCATTTAAAAACTAGAAACTTCTCATACAGAAGTCAAATAATTTTCTTCACAAGTATGGCCGGAAGTGGGAATCATTTTCACTTTCTGCTTGTGACCACTCTAATGGCAGAAAAGGTAAATGCTTTGCCCATCATTATGGGTAGACATGGGAAGCAGCAAACAGAAAGTCTAACTCCTAAATTCAATATGGATTTCCTCCACTCAATACCCAAAGAATAATACTTTTGATAGTTTACAAACCTTCTGGCACAGGATTGGAAACAAAGGAACAATTTGGAACCACTGGTTTACGACTGGCAGTATAATTAGTTCTGTTCACAGAGGGAACTGGCAACAAGTTTACTGGAGGAACACTATACTTGTGATGGGTATTTGTTAATAACTGGGCAATTTCTTTTTCATCCTCCAAAAGGGTTATCAAAGAATATACTACAGGTTCAGCAGTCTCAGCAAATGTCAAGGCCTTCCCATAAAGAAACTCAGAAATGTGTAAACGACAAGCCAGAGGTAGATTTTCATTGGTGGAATAAAATGCCACCAGAGGTGCTTGGAAGGGATATTTGCTACCTTCAGAAAATCTAATTTCAAGTTCATATAAAAAAGAGACATCTCCATTAGATCTAAGATGAGAATCATCTATGGATCGCTCTGCTTTTCTTGAAAGTTGTCTTGAGGGATTTTCGTGCCTAAATTTGCATTTTGATCCAAATCTACAATTTCCTTGGAGATAGAACTGACAGATTTCACGTGAGGTCTGTACATTTTTGGCACTTTTCTTCTGTTTGGATTTGCAGAGTTTATTTGTTAGGTGCTCCAGCTCCAATCCAATTGTCCAGACTCTGTTCTGAATTCTTTCCACAAATTTTTCTCCACAGATTGACTGGAGAGCAAAGGCTTCTTCTTGACGTTGTTCCATACACTCTTCCCGATTGACACAGGACGCTGCTGCGGGGATCTCCATCCTCTCTGCATATCTTTCTGAAAAGCACTGAGAGAGCAAATGTTCCAGGGAGGCCCCAACATCACCATCACAGGACTTCAATGCTGCCTCACAATATTCAGTATTGAAACCATACCTACATTAAGAGAAAATAAGCCTGGAATTAGTGAGAAATTACTATGGGAGTAAGAAATAACTGCAATTTAATTCTGCTAAATATGCTAATATGGAATCATGGGGACCTCTAGAGAGATTAAATGACTAGCCCAGGTTCCCACAGCTGGGAAATGTCTAAGGCTAGACTCTAGGCCCAGTGTCAAGTGTTGAGGGCCAGATGTGAACTCAGGTCCTCCTAACTCCAAGGCCCGGAGCTCTATCCACTGCACCACCTAGCTGCCCCTCTAATAATATTTTTTATTATTATTAAACTTACTTTCATACTTTTATACTGTCTACAATGCGCAAAGTACTATAAAGGGTACTTTGGGGACAAGATCATTTAAAGAACTCTGAGCTTAACTGGGAAGATAAGACAAGTATCCAAGTCTCTAACATGATGTAGAAAGAGACAGTGATGTAAGAAGACACACAGTGAAACAGGAGTATCCATTCTAAACTTATCAATTACAGGGAGATGGTCATACTTACCTGCTGTAACAGAAACAAATCCACTATTACTAACGACCATTAGTTGAAATAGACTCTGAATTTCTTCTTTCTCAGGTTGCATCTGATCATCGGGCATGGATTCCAAAGGCTTTAGACTTTCTCAGTTAGACAAACTATCAGTTGTCTTAAACTTGCTCATTTGTCATTAAAAAAAGGAGGCTGATCAATAACCAAGAGGCGAGCTAGGCCTCTGGGAACATAAGACGCTCTGGTGCACAGAGCACTGGGCCTGGAGTCAGGGACCCAAGTTCACATGTGGCCTCAGACCCTTACTAGCTGTGTGACCCCGGGCAAGTCTTTTCACTTGTTTGTCTCAGTTTCCTCAATTGTAAAATGGGGGTGATAATAGCACCTCCCTCCCAAGGTTGTTGTGAGGAACAAATGAGATAATAATTGTAAAGTCCTTAGCACCATGTCTGGCACATAGTGCTATAGAAATGCTTGTCTCCTCCCTTCTCCCTCTTCCCTTCTGAGTAATTGTTTTTAAATTTCTGAGTGAATCAACTTCCAGTAGATGCCAGACTGATTTTGGTCATAAGGATCTCTGTTCTTCTATTGAGTAGGCCTAACAAAATTGTAAGAGTGTCTTATAGCTCCAAGATATAAGATGAAAATACCAAAATGACTTTAGATATACTCTGGGACAGGGGTGGGAACCTGCGGCCTTGAGGCCACATGTGGCCCTCTCAGTCCACAAGTAAGGCCCTTTGACTGAATCCAAACTTCACAGAACAAACCCCCTTAATAAAAGGATTTGCTCTGCACAGTTTGGATTCAGTCAAAGGGCCTTACTTGAGGACTGAGAGGGCCACATGTGGCCTCAAGGCCACAGGTACCCACCCCTACTCCAGGATCTAGATTAATTTCACTGGTATAGGGAATTCCCCATCTTCTCTGCTTCTCCCTTATGCCTAGAATGTACAACCTCCTTACTTCTGCCTCACACAATTCCACTGTTCCTTTAACACGAAGGTCAAGTCCCAATCAATCAGTAAACATTTATTAAGCACCTAATATGTGCCAGGCACTATGCTAAGTGCTGGGGATACAAGAAAGGGCAAAAGACAGTCCCTGCCATCAAGGAGCTTACAATCTAATGGGAGAGACAACACATAAATAAATATACACAAAGCAAGCTACATGTGGCATAAATAGGAATAACAGAGGAAGGCACTATAATTTGGAAGGGATGAGAAGGCTTCCTATAGAAGGTGGGATTTTAGTGGGAGGTCAATAGATGAAGATGAGGACAGAGAGTGTTCTAGGCATGGAAGACAGTCAGAGAACATGCCCAGAGCTGAGAGGTTGTGTGTTTTGTTTATGGAAGCACGAAGAAGCCACAGTCACTGCACTGAAGAGTACACAGTATGTCAGGTAGTAAGGTATAAGAAAACTGTAAAGAAAGGTAGGAGGGGGCTAGGTTATGAAAGGCTTTGGATGCCAAACATAGAATTTTGCATTTGATCTTGGAAGAGACAGGAAAGCCACTGGAGTTGGGGGAGGGGAAAGATGGCGGAAGAGCATGTGTGACATGATTGTGGCTGAACAGAGGATGGACTGGAGTGAGGATAGACTTGAGGCAAGCAGACCCAAGAGCAGGTCATTATAAATTCAGGTGAAGCTTTCCTGACCCCCCAAATTGCCCTTCCTCCCAAACCACACAGTATTTAATTACTTTGTATTTCTTTACTTCATAGTTATGTAGTCATCCTTATACATAAAATAATATGTTGTAGATATACTTCTTGTCTCCCCCTTTAGAATGTAAGATTGTTCCATTCTTTATACTCGTATTCTGAGTGCCTGCCACAGCATCTGGCACATAGTAAGGGCTAAATGCTTGCTGACCGATCAAAAGATTGCCTGAAATTTATAGTCTAAACTAACTACACTTCTCTGGGCACTCCCTAGTTTATTAATGTCCTTCCTAAAAAGAACAATGCCCAGAACTGAACATAACACTCCAGACGTGACCAAAGTACAGCAGGACTCTCACCTTCCTTGTCCTGAACACAGGAGTATGCTTCTCAACACAGCCCAAGATTGCATGAGTTTTTTTGGCTGCCCTATCACACTCCTTGCCACCCTTTGCACCCCAAACACTTAAACACTGCGTCTGAATCCAAATCTTCCTGCCTACAAGCTGGCTCTCTACCTGCATATGTGAGGGGGGGACAGAGAGAGGAAGGGAGAGTGGATGACAAAAGATGGAAGGAGGAGACATACATACAAAGAGAGAGGAAAGGAGCAGGGCATGCAGGTGTCCAAGCATAAAAACTTACCTGGCGAGTTTTTGGACTGCAAATGGAGATATTTCAAATTCAGGAATGTGAGGCTTCCCAAGTACAGAGCCAGTAGGTTCCATGGGGTCATGGTTACAAACAAGGGAAGCCTCCCGACTGGCAGACCAGTACTGTTCATCATCACAACAATCAGCCTCTTCTTCTTCCCCAGAAGCACCTCCTCTGACAAAAGAGATATTAACATATTACTGAAATAATAATATAATTTTAGTTTATTTCAAAGAGGAATCTAATCAAATCCTCAGGATGCAGATCGTGACCACTCCAAGGTCAATAAAGCCTTAGTTGACTTGAATAATTTAGCTACCACCCACTCTATTCTTTTCCCTTCTAGAACAACCACCAAAATCCTTATTTCCCCCCAAAAGCTCCTTCCCTTTAATTTGGAACAGGTACTAATGATTGAATTCGAAGGAAAAGGAGCTGTTAATTAACTATACATTAATTCTTGGGATGTGAAATGGGCAATTTCTGTATCTGAAGTTGGGAGTCTTATGCCATTAAAAAAAAAAAAAGGAAAATAACCAAGGCTATGGTGAAAGCCTATGGTGTCAGGAAGATTGTTATGTTATAGGGGGTAAGATGGTGTGGTGGAAAGACCATTGCACTGGAAGTCACAAGATATGGGCTTGATTGCCAAGATCTGCTTCCTACAACCTGGATAATTGTGAGTAAGACATTTTACTTCTGTGGGTCTCAGGATTTTTTATTGTGAAACTAGGGGCTGGATGACTGCCATGGGTCCCCTGAAGTTCTATTTCTATGATTCTTGTGGTCCTATATTTAATGCTCAGGGACTCAAATTCTCCTGCTTAAAGATCAAATTTACTTGTTCCACCACAACTTTCTTTTCAAAGAGAGACACAGAAGCAATTATTGACACAAAAATAAAGCAGTGGATAAGAAGAAATAACTAAAAAGAGTCTGCAAAGGCCTTGGCATAGTCAGATAAAACAACTAACTCGAATCCAGCCTCTGGGTCCTGTCCTTGGAGTTCTCGAAGAAGAGCTTTGACTTTCTCCTGATTCTCAGAAGTCATATGGAGAGTCTGTAAGGGCACTCTGGTTTCAGGCCTCCGTTTTGGGTGTGCTCCTCCTTTGCTAGTGCTGCTGCTAGACCTAAAAAGGAAATCAGACCAGAATTCTACATTTAGCCATGATCTGAGGTTACCTATCCCCCAGAGTCACCCACCACACTTTGCACTAAATGGATTGTCAAGCACCTTACTAAAGAAGACAAAGAAAGTAAAGATAGGGACAGAGGTCTATCTTCCAGGTCCCTGGAGGGGACCAGCTCATTATATTGTCTAGAAAAACCTGACAAGAACATGAACAGTTAAACAGCTGTTTCACGGTTGTTTTCACTAACCCAGTAGGCACAACAGGAAAACACAACTCACTCTATGACTCGAGACTTTGGAAGTAAGAGGTATCATCACTGTTGTTCATCCTTTGTTCACAAAGAGGACCAGTGACATCATAAGGTGATGTCTTGACTTAAGTGTGAATTGGATTTGTGAGGCAGAGCTGCACAAAGTTGTCAGATCATCATTAGTTTATTCTCTAAGGCAGTGGCAGTCTGAAAACAATTAATGGTCTCTCCCTATTTGTCAATGTTAGGTATAACTTGTTATGTGCAACATATTGTAGGATATAAAGGCAAGACTCAGTCTCTGCCCTCAAGGAACTTGCAATCTAAATGAAGAAAAAAGAGGAAAAAACAAATACACAAATAACTGTAAAACGAGAGAATAAAAGTATCATAAAAGAGTACAAATGAAATAATATAAGAGTGTAGAGGAGGAAGAAATCATTCTATTGGGGTATGTTGAAAATTCTTTATGGAATGTCACTTAAACTGACTCTTGAAAAACAGGCTGGATTTCAATTAATGGTAATGTAGAAGGAGAGTATTTCAGGCAGAAGAAAGAACATAAGCAAAGTTGTAGAGGTGGGAAAGAAGGAAATATTCTAGGACCAGTGGGTAGTCCAGTTTGCTTATGTATAGGGCAGTAGTGGGACATAGGGCTAGAAAGATAATGTGAAGTGAACAGTTTATTTTATGTGTCACTTAAATTTTTGTAATGATTCATATTCCTATAGTCCTTTAAAGTATACAAAGTGCTTTCCAAATAATAACTCTAGGAGTATCATTATTTCCATTTTAGCAGTGAGGAAACTGAGTCTCAGCTAGACAGCAATTTGTCCATTCTCATACGACTGGCACCAGAGCTAGCATGGTCTGAATCTAGCTCTTCTGGCTCTAGGTCCGCTGCTGTGTTCACTACAATAGACTGCCTCTCTGACCACTGATGCTTTTTGATTGGTAGGGAAGCTGTGATTTCAGGACTATTCTGGCAGTAATGTGCTGGATGGATTGGAGGAGGGATAAATTACAGACAGAAGAATGTTAGAATCCTATTACAAGAATCCAGATAAAAGGTGATGAGACCTATAACCAGGTGGTGGCCGTGAGAATCAACAGGAGGTAAAACACATCAGAGAGGTATTAATGTTAGCAGAACTGATTTCTAATGGTTCACAGAAAATATAAGTAGGATATTCTCGGCCTACTATTCTGTACCAGGTGTGAGTCTGCAAGGAGATGAATTCTGAAGGCACAAATAAAAAACATTCTGATGAGGAAGAAAAAGGGAAATTGTCTAAAGAGACTGCTATAGATAAAAAGGGAAGTCATCAACCAGCCTAGAGAATGATACAGAAGAGAGAAGCAAGGGCAAGTGAACAAGAGTTAATACAAAAGCATAACATGGTCCTGTAAGTTCAAAACAAGCTGACATAGGAAAGGAAATCTAAGAACAAAAAGGAAATTTTTCTCGCTCTAATGGGGAAAAAAGTAAAATCAAAGAAGACACAGGATTACTGCTTAGAACAAATGGGATGATGATTACAGAAGATGAGAAGGTTGAACTAATCAATAATTATTTTGCTTCCATTTCTTTGCCAGGAGAACTAAAAACAAAACAAAACAAAAACAAAAAACAAAAACCCAGAATAAAGATGACTAATAAGGGGAAGAGTCCTTGAAATTCCTTGGAAGATGATAGAGTAATTGATTTCCTAGAAACAGCTCTTCTCTAGTACACCAAATAATACAAATAACACCCCACCCCCAAATTCAGAAAAGTCAATAATGATAAATGAAAGAATCTGGCACAAAATAATTCTTACAAGAAAAACAGAAGGCTAATTCATTAGTTTGTCCCTCTAAGAACTCCAACTGTTGTAGGTTCCCCTTCCTGATTTGACAGCCTAAGCACTGACTGAGAAAAATCAGGATTGTAGGTAGGTAGGTGGATGAAACAAATTAGGATTTCAAAGGAAAAAGGTCTCAACCCTTCATTAATCAATTTTATTGGTCACAGAAAAGCCTTTTGGATGAGGGGAAGAAAAAGTAGAAACACTAGTGACTGGTCAGGGCTGGTCAGACGTGGGCAGGATACTTTCAATTTCTTCCCTGGTCGTTAGGTGCGGTGGACTAAGGATAGAACACTGGGAGGCAGCTCGTGGAGGGAGGAGTGGTAGCTGGACAGAGCCAGCAGAAAGGGATTGATCTGGCAGTCAGGTGAAGTGACTGACTGAGGGTGGGGTAGAGAGAGAAGAAAGGTAAGACAAAGGTCTTTTAATGAAACCTCCAAGTAGAATTGATCTCTTCACCCTTAAATTTCTCACAGCACTTTGTTTGGATCTCTTGTTTGTCTTTGTAATGATAGTTGTTTGTGAACATGTCTTATCCCTTCTATTAAGTTGTATGACCACTGAGGGTAAGGACTGTTCTTTCTTTATTTTTTTTGTAGCCCAAATACCTAGAAGGAGCCTAACAAACATTTGTTGAACGAAAATATTTACTGATATCCAGCAATACCTAAAAAACAACTTTCAAATCCTCTTGTCAGCTAGCCTGTCTCAGAAATGTACTATTCCCAGAACACAGCATTTCAATTTACCAACACCCAAGCACCTTTTTTGCAAAAAAGGATAACTGCAGTTTTATACTTCAACTAATCAATTAATAAGCATTTATTAAGTACCTAGTATATGCCAGGTTGGGGCGGGGAGGGAAGAGGGGAATGGTAAGGGACAACACATGAAGGGACATAAGGATAAAATGGGGACAAAAATAAAACAGTCCCTGCTCTCAAGGAGCTTACATTCTATCACATATATTTAAATAGAATCTTAGGTTGATGCTTTTCTGTATTTACATAAGTTTAAGAAAACATTAACTTATATTTATTGACACTCTCTCACACATCTGTACTTTATACTCAAGTTGCTTTATACTCATGCAACTGAAATTGTTCCCAGATTTAAAACTCCAAAAGGATAATGACCTGGATGAAACTCCTGGTTCACCAAAGACACAAAAATCATCTCCATCATCCCAAATTTTACTTGAGCCTTTTCTACTGCCACTGGTTTGAGATTTATTAGCATGACTCTTGCCACCTCGTCCTCCTCCTCCACCTTTTCCACCACCTCTTCCACCTCCTTTGTTTGGCTTTCCTTTTCTTCTCACAAAAGAGCTCATTTTTCCCTAAAAGGAGGGAAAATAAAATTAGTATTATTTCAAGGCTTCTTACCATAAGCATTTGCATAATCTGTTTAGCTAAATTACATGTACATATTGTTTTATCCAAATCTGAAATAGGATTCACCACATGATTCCTATTAAGAAAGGAACCCTAAAATACTTTAAAAAATTACATTTACAAACTTTAATTTCCATATAACTTCTCAGAAACAGAGAAGCAACATGGCTTTGTGGACATAGAGATGGCTTTGGGGTCAAGAAGACCTGAGTCCAAATCCTATGTCGACATATACTGGTTGTGTAACCCTAGGGTGAGTCACTTACCCTCTTGATGTTCAAGGCAGCTAAGACTAGAAGGTGTCAATCTGCATTGGTAGAAGGAGTTTCCTCATGTAGGAGTTCCCTATACCAAAGAAATTGCATGTTCATGCCTCATATCTTTTCATAAACATATTTACTATGTGAATGGTCATTTACATATGTAAAGTAGACATTCTCCCCAAATTAGAAATAAGTTAAAAGTAAATTTCGCAAGGATATTTTTATTATTTCCTACTTTGAAAATTATTTTATTCCAACATCATCTTAAAGAGTTTGCTGAACTTTAAGACAGCCATCTCACTGTGTTTAAGGTCTACTGACAGTAACAAAATCATACTCTATGGACAATAACACTCTCATCTGCATATCTTTACCATATTTACACCCGCTGTATTCCTAATTCCAAAGTTTTAAAATGTCGTAACTAAAGCAAAATAAAGTCAACCAGATTTTAGACTCAAGATCATTTTTCTGCTGCAGAGCAACAACCCCACCAACCCAAATGAAAATTCCTATTACAAGAGACTTCTGGCTCCTGTTTGCAGCCTTGATCCAAGAACAACACGAGGATGGAGTAAAATTCCCTCACCTTCTTTGCAAAGAGACAGATATATACAAATTACACAAAGGTAAGGTCAAGAAAAGCTCCAAAGCAGCAAGCACTCAACCATGGGATTCTCTGGTTTTTCTAAAGACAATTTATCAATCCCCCAAAATTCATTCTTCTGGTCAAAAAAAAAGTGGGGAAAAAAAAAGTCTTCCGAAACTGACTTAACAGCTCTATACATCAAGAATCCCTCTACTGTCCATTTGTATTTAAACATAAAAAAGCATTAAGTAAAGCAAGCAGGTGCTATACAATAATATGAACAAGGAAGATGATTAAAAGGGATCCTAGAATATGACAGAAATATACATAGAGAAATATTCCATTTACAACCTCACTTCAGCATGTCAATCATGGATAATGTACCACCAGTTTTTGTTCTTCTTCAGCCAGCACATCAATTGAGTTCACTGTGCCAAATTTTATACTAATAAAAGGCTAACACTGACCATAAGTTTTGATAAAAACCATCAAACTGAGGAATAAGACCAGTGAGAAGTATGTGCTTTCCTTCTGTGGGGCCTGTAGATTTACCAACTATGTGGATTTCCATTCCTGTGGTATGTGAATTATAGTTAGGCAAGCTAGTTGTGAAGTGGATAGAAGAATGCTAGGAGTCAGGAAGATCTGAGTTCAAATGTGGCCTCAGACTCATACTAGCTAATGTGGCCGGGCAAGTCACTTAACCTCTGTTTGCCTCAGTGTCTTGAACTGTAAAATGGGGATAATAATAGTACCCACCTCCCAGGATTGTTGTGAGGATCAAATGAGATAATACTTGTAAAAACGTCTGACAGTGGTTGGCACATAGTAGGCACTATATAAATACTTGTTCCCTTCCTTTCTACCCTACCCCTGTTACCATTGCTAAAGTTAACACAGCAAAGGGGGTAAGATCTCAGTATCAATCAGCTCCTTTAGCATGATCAGTTGCAGTGTTGTGGTAGCATTAGTCTGTATACTACCTGACCACTGCTTCCAAAGATTCAAAATTAAGATCCTGGACTTATCATAGGATCAAAAGATTATAGATTCAGAAATGTAAGGACCCTTGGAAGTCATTAAGTAAAATCCCTCATTTTGCAGATGGGGAAACTGAGGCTGAGGGAGGTAAAGTGACTTGCCCAGAGTCACACAGCTCATAAGCATCTGAGGCAGGATTTGAATTCACATCATCCTGATTCCAGGTTCATACTCTTATCTATTTTTCGACCAGCTGCCCCAAAATCTCTGTCCACTGTGTCACTCTGATGGTAGGCACTACCTGCATTGCCTTTTCAAGATCAGGGTGATTGATCTGTTTGAAGTCCTCCCAGCCCCTCACACCCCCCCCTTCCCTATGATTTGGTTCCCCATGAAACCTCTGGGTATAGCGCCTCAGAGCTACCAGAGCTTAACTCTTGAATCAGTTTCCCTAGAACAACAGTGGCTAATGGCAGTATCTGCCTTGGGATTCAAGGACACTGCTACCCAAGGCACTGATGGAAGTCCACATTTTGGCCTTTTGAAATTCACAAAGTCATCCTCTGATGGAGGGTTGGGAGTAGAAGAATGAACCTCCTACTCCCAAGTGAACCCCTTTCAGGTACTTGGCCAAAGCTGTGCCACCACTAGGCTAGCCTACTACTGGAATGCCCAACTCCAAATCAGGTAGCCTTTATATCTAAAGCTTCACAGGGTTTGATTAGATCTCTTCAATCAACCACAAAACATTGCCTATGTAGTGCCATCTGCTTTCATTCAGTGACTCAAGTATTCCATTTCCCCCAAATTAATGCTTTGTCTGTTCTAGTTTACACGACTGAGAGGTTCAACAGAAGTGTCCCAGAATTGTTCATACCTAGTTCATGCCTTTGACTGATTCTATAACTCATTTAATAAAGTGAGTTAATCAGGGTATAGAGCAACTTGTTAGTGGCATTAATTGAAGTTTTGAGGTGTCACACTCTTCTTACACCTTACATAACTCTCCCCACACATTACCTTCTCACATTATTCCTAGACTTGGAAATAAAGAGCTATAAACATACCCTATAACTCACATATACATACTATATTATCCAATCTATTTTAATCAGAGTATCAGATTCACATTACATTTTCTTACATTCTAGACACAAAAGGAAAAGATTTCTAATCCTTAGGTTTTAGCATTAGAAATTACCTTTTAAAATATGTTATGCATGACTTCACACATATAATGGCTATCATATTGCTTACCTCCTCAATGAGTGGGGGAGGGAGAGAATTTGGAACTCAAAATTTAAAAAAAAAATGTTTAAAAAAAAAAAGCTATTACCCCCTAGTTCATACCTAGGCTTGGTCTACCATTATCCCTTAACTGGGGGTGGGGGGTGGTTAAAGATTATTTAAACCAATCCCTTAATTTTAAAGACAAAGAAGCTAAGACTCGGTGTTCAGTGTGTGAAGTCACCCAGTGAGTGGCAGAACCGGTACTGGAACCTAGATTTACCCACTCCAAACTCAGGGTTCTTTGCACGGCACCTACCCCCTTCTATCCTCGCTCCCTTCCTCGTAATACCCCTACATTTCTAGGCACACGATGGAACCCCTTCCACATCTGCCTCCCCCTCCCCTCCCCTTTCTCCCTCCCAGGAGCCCATTTCTACTCTCTTCGGGATGGAGATGACCATCCAGAAAGCCCAGCTTTACCTTAAATCTGCCGGAGAACCCCTCGGTCCCCCTTCATCCCACACCACCGGGATCCTGGCCCTCCCCGCATCCCCCCCAGAAAAGGATGTCGCACCACCCTCCCCCCAAGACCGGCAGCGACGGCCTGCGACCAAGCGCAGGCTCAGACCCGACAGTCCTCAGCCCTCCCGAGGTCGAGCGGCAGCGCCCACGACCTGAGGGCTGCTGCTGCGGCGGCAGGAGTCTGGTCTCCCTATCCGCTTACCTCGCCCCGGGTGCGGGAGGAGGCAGACAGCTCGATCTCTGAGGCTGTCCGGGGCGAGGACCAGCTTCGGATAGGCCGCTGTCCCCGGGCGGTGCTGGTCCAGCCCCCTCACGACCCCGCCGCCTCCTGATTGGCTCCTCCGCGGAGGGCGGTACCTCGGCACTTCCACTTCCGGGTAAGAAGCGCGGTTGGGGGTAGGGAGGGCGTCTCCCTGACGACCGGGGCGCGCGTCTGGCCGGACTTCTCCCCGGGTGGAGCCAGTTTGAGGCCGCACCAGAGGCGGCTCGGTGGGCTGCGGGTGTGGGGAGTGGGTGTGGGAGGGGGTGATCCAGTAGCCGCCGCCGCCGAGCGTCCGGAAATCTTTGCCCCTCCTGAAAATGAACGAGGTGCCGGCAGAAGAGTTCAAAGGTGGCCGGGGTGGGGGCGGGGGCTGCCCCTACCTCCAGCCTTCCCCCTATTTACCGCATGACAGTGGACAAATCGCTGGGCCGCCCCGGGCCTCAGTTTCCCCAACTGTTAAATTGAGGGAGGTGAAGTTGAGCTAGATGAGGGAACCTTTAGCTGCTACAGGTTCACGACCCCTCCGGCCTCAGTTGCCATATTTGTAAAACAGAGCCGGTTGGACCGAGTAATACAGCGGGGGGGGGGGGGGGGGCCTACAACTGCTGCGACAACTCCTCTGCGGGCTCTGTCTTTGCTGGTGTGTCCGTGGGGTGCCCAGGAAAGGGTGTGCCAAAGCTGAGTGCCCGCAGTGCCACCAGAGAAGGATTATCTTTGTCCCGAGGGGTACCATGGAGCCAGAAGGGCATCTAGGCCAATCCCCTCGTTTCCAGAGGAGGAAACTGAGGCCCAGAAAGGTTGAGCCATCTTGCCAAGGTAACACACAGGCAGGGGAGAAGAGCTGGAATTTAATTCCACAGTCTCTGTGTTGTATCATGACATCTCCAAAATACAATCACTTTAATTTTAAAAAGAATGCATACTGTGCTGAACTGTTAGGCATGGGTAGATTGTGAACTGGAGCATACAACTGTGGAGGTGTTTGGAATCAATATGGGTGCAGAATGAGGTGGGAATTAGGGAAAGAAAGGAAAGGTGGGGTGGGTAAAGCCTTTTTGGTGAAATGGAAAGAGATGTAAAGGTAGTGTGATGTAATGGAAGAGGCCCTGGACGTGTAGTTAGTACCTGGGTTCAAATTCTGTATAGTTACCACTGTCAGACCTGAGGCAAATCATTTAGTTATCTCTGGGCCTCTGCCTCCTCAGTTATGGAAATAATGAGGTTGAACTAGAAGACCTCTCAGATGTTTGCCGCTCTACATTCAATAAAATAGTTGGGGAATGGGAGTTGTGCTCAGAATATTCCAATATATATCTACCCATCTATTAACAAAAGCTCAGCATAAGCCTCTGTCTTTAATATTCTCCACTCTACTCCTATGAGTCTAATCAGGAGGACACTTTGCAGGTGGTTTTGTGATAGGTCTCAAATGGAACTTTGAAATTGTATAGATATGTAAACAAAAGGCAAGAGACTTGAAATAGCTTGATGGATGACTGGAACCTAGGTGGATGTGTTGCATTATTTCTCTGCACTAACCAAGTAGATATCAAAGACACTCCAAATCATGGTGATATTGCTGTGATAAGATATAGTGGGTCAATGTGTGCTAATTGTGATATATCTTGTGATAAGAAAATCTTCAAGCTTAAATAATATTTGTTCTTTCTAAAAACAGACCCAGAAGTATATAAAATATGCTATATATTTCCAAATGGAGACAAATACGGTAAGAATTTCTTTAAATTACTTTTTATGTAAGTAAATATTAAATGACAAATAAAAACTGAGAGCCACATTTTTTTGTAACACTTGTATTAAACATTTTAATTCTTAAACATAATGGATTTCAGTAGCCCCCAAATTAATCACCTAGGAGCCAGTCTTTTGGAACATAAAGCACAGAAGTCAAAGTAGAAGATTAAAAGTTTTTGTTTGTTTGTTTGTTTGTTTGTTTAGTATAGTAGAATATAGTAAGTGGTTTAGTATAGTAGAATATAGTAAGGCTTAGGAGTTGAATTATTACAAATGGTCTGAAAATCCATATGTGCACCAAAAATTATCATTTTATCATATATTGGCACAGTGATTAGAGCAAAAGACTTAAAGTAAGAAAAGACCTGAGTCTGAATACTACCTCAGACAGTAGCTAGGTGTGACCCTGGGCAAGTCAATATCTCTGTGCCTTACTTTCCTCATTTGTAAAATGTGGGTAATAATAGCCTCTATCTCATAGGATTGTTTGATGTGTCAAATGAGTTCATATTTGTAAAGTGCCTTGTAAAACTTAAAGCCCTACATAAGTACTATTATTATTATTATGTAACTACTATCATGTGAGGGTTTAAAATGTTTTAGCCATTAAAAAGGGCATACCCAAATAGGAACCCCTTAGGTGGAAAATGCACTGGGCTTCCAGAATTTGAGCCTTAGGCTCTGATGCTGACTTCCAGACCTTGGACAGATCATGTACTACACCTCAGACCCATGGGACAGAGAGGGCTAGAAGAAGAGGTTCATTAAGGCACAAAATGCACATTCTGCCAAAACACTTTATGTTTGCATCCAATCTTGGATATTTTTTCTTGTTTTAGAGGGTGACTGTACGAGAATATCTCCTGGAGTCTTTGAAAGAAATGGAGCAGGGGTTCATACCACCCCCAATGGAATAACCTATGTAGGGGCCTGGAAAGATGACAAAGTAATACAAGCTCTTTTCACTTGTAATTAGTATGCTGTTATTAGTAGAGTACTCAGCATGGGTAAATAATCCTAGTGTGTGGAGCGCTGCATGTGATATCTAAAGCTTAAAGACAATCGAACTGTATTGTATGTGGCCACAGACACACATGAATGCTCTCAAGAAAGGGGTTGTCCTGTTTTTGTGAGAGGTAAAATAGAACTAGAATAATCTGCTAATCAGATTACTGAAATTAAGCGCAAACTAGATTAAACTAGCACACTCGGGTGGATGGCGGACTTGTATCTGTACTACATGTAGCACCCCTTTTGGGGCACTCCTGCTGCATATACTGACAGCTGGCTGACTGAGTCCGAAGAGAGCAGCTGCTCCTGACTGCTTTTAGGGTGCTATCCAGTAATGCTGATGGAGTGTGGTTTCCAACTCTGTCCTGAATTTTTCCCTTTTGTGTACTCTTCATTATCACTCAACTAACTGAAACTCCATTAGCTTTGGACTTACTGAGAAGGCAGATACAGAAGAATCAATGCAGAACATTCCCTTTAAACCTGAGGCACCTACCTCCTTTGCATTCACAAAGTCCTGCTGGAAATACAGATTCAACCTTGAAATGCAGTGTTAGTGAGGTGCACGTATTAGAGAACACACATGGCCAGTGTGTATTGGCCTGGCCCTGGAGGTCCCTTTCTTCTTTGTGGAGTGCTCATGAAATTTCTTCTAGGTATAGTTCTTTTTTGGGCACTGAGGGTTAGTGCCTTGATAAGATCCATAGCTACCACTCTTTCTCTCACTAAGGCTCACAATCTGTCTCTTTTTGTAGTCAGCCACCACTACTTCAGGGATTACTGCCGCTGGCTATTCCCATTTCAGAATACTCCTAAGATGAGGAAAGAATAAACACAAATGGAACCAAGGCAGTGACATGTGGCAAGCAGGTTGAGGAATGAGGCCAGATCCCCCTCCCCCACCCGACACTTCAAAGTAGTTGCCCTCTTAGGAAAAGAGATTGGGAGAGGCCTGGATCACAGCTTTTTAATGCAATTTTGAAATAGCTCCTGAATCATCATCAGTTTTTCCAGTTCTGAAGCCAATTAGAAGAGTTGGCTCAAAAAGAGCTCCCCAAAGTTTTCATGTGGTTTCATCTGAAGCAGACAAAAAGTACCTGAGCATACTCTAAGGCCTGGGTCCTTGGAAGTATTGTTTTTTTTTTAATAAAAACTTTATTTGTATTTAAACATAATTGGTTTCCCTTGTAATTCTATGTATTTTATGCACCTGAAAACATTGTTCTGAGAAGGGATCTGTAGACTTCACCAGACTGCTAAAGAGGACCCTAACACAAAAAAAGTTAAGAACCTTTGCTTTAAGGACTGAAACCAGGCAGAGAATATCTGCAAATGCTTTACGAACTGGCCCTCGTTGGTCAGTCGCCCTCATAGTTATATAAGATCTGGGAATGCCTATGAAAACAAGTCACTAGTTTTCCTTTTTATCTAAACAGATGAATGGAATCGGAAGACTTGAGCATTTTTCAGGAGCAGTATATGAAGGAGAGTTCAAGGACAACATGTATCACGGAATAGGGACTTATACATTCCCAAATGGAGCAAAATACACCGGAAGTTTTGTAGAAAACAGGTGAAATTTTCAAAAATGTAATATTCTAGTTAAACCATATTATTACTGCTTTTTCCTTTCAGAGTTGTTATTTTTCAGCTGTGTCTAGCTTTTTGTGACCCTGTCGACTATAGCATGCCAATACTATCCATGGGGTTTTCTTGGCAAAGATACTGGAGTGTTCGCCATTTCCTTTTCTAGTGGATTTAAGGCAAACAGAGGTTAAATGACTTGCCCAGGGTCATACAGCTAGTAAGTGTTTGAGGTCAGATTTGAACTGAGGTCTTCCTGACTCCAGGCCCAGCCCTCTATTCACTGAGCCACTTAGCTGCATTTCAGAGTAGTTTCTTTAAATATCACACCTACATAAAATATAATCTTTTAAAATAAATTAAGTTTCCAAGCATTGTTAGTCTTATTTGAGAGAAGACCAGAGAGGGAAAGACCAAAACAGGAATTATGCTTTGGGTTTCCAAAAGGAAATATACTTTAAATTGCATTTCTTTAATTTTAATTTCTTTACTTATTATTTATTCATGCCTTCCATGTTGAGTGCAGAACTTTTTTCATTACAAATCTGACCTGACTTTTTTTTCAGGTTTTCCCTTTCTTCTTTTGCATCGATGCTTGAGTCTGGAGTAAAGTGTCAGCCTTACTTCTAACTCCTCACATGACATCAGGATAATTACTTAAACTTTCTGTACTTTAATTTCTTCATCTATAAAATGGAGGTAATAATACTTAACCTACCTGGGGAAGATTATGGCGATCAAATGAGATAATATCAAGAGAACACACTGAAAAAACTAAAAATCTGTGTGTTGCATGATAAATATGATACTTAAAGGCAGTTTAACTGTAGAGTAGATGTCTACACCGACATAGAATGTGGGAATTGGAGTCAAGAAGAACTGGATTCTGATCTCCCAGTTCTGTTCTGTTACGTCCTGATTGCCGCTGGCCACTTCCCACCCTTAGTCCTATCTAGACTCCATTCTCTCTCGGCCGTGCGGTCCGGGTCCCTGGCGTACTGTTCACCCCGGCTTCCTGGCCACTCCCATCCAGATCCTCATTAGACCCCTCCTCCAGACACCCCCCAGACTTCTTGGCCACTCCCGGATCCCTCCTACAGTTTTTTTGTTTATAAGATTCATCTCGTCTCCATTAAAGTGCTCAGATTCTTAAAATCTGGCCCTCTTGCATTAGCAATACAAACACTTAGATTCCTTAAGAGTCTGGCCAATATGGCAGATGTTCTAATAAACCTTGTCTTTGGCTGGGGAAACAAAAAAAAGAGCTAGGTTCAAATTCCACCTCTGACGCTTGCTGTGTGACTACAAGCAAGTCACTTAACCTCTCTGGGCCTCAGTTTCCTCATCTATAAAATGAGGGAGTTGGACTCAAAGGACCTCTAAGTTCCCTCCCATCTCTTAAGTATATGGTTCTGTGATCCATATGATGGCTCTTTGCAGAGGGATTGTCCTATTCTTTTGGAAATCGAGTGAGATAAAATAGATGTATAATGAGATAAAATGTAATGAGATAATGAGATAAAATAATATGTAATGTGCTATTGAAATTAGGAGCAAATTAGGTTAAACTAGCACACTTGGGCAAGTGATAGACTTGCAATTTAAAGAAGCATAAAAAGAACATGTAAAACCAGCAACACTCATTTGTGAGGTGTAGATGGATTTGATTTGTTTTGATGTTTGCAGATGTTTCATACATGTTCTCTAAAGTGGAGCAGCATAGTAGATATTTGTTAGAATATAATCAGTGATTTCATTTTGTCGTGTTTAGCTTTTCAGGAACACTCCCCTGCTAAGCTCTTCTTCTGTTGGTTATGCTTGTGTGTACAGCTCATATGAAGTGGGAGATTCGTGCAGTTTTCTGAGAAATTCAGATAAAAAACTACTGTCACCTAAAATATTCTGATAATTGAGGTCCAATCATGGAACTTACACAAACTTTTCAGTTTACTTTATGAGGTTCCTCTATGGCTACGGCTGGTGATAGCATTTTTTTTTTTTTTATCTTTTGGAAAGATGTGAGCAAAATAAGTTAGATTACAAGTTATAAAAATAGGACCTTTTAAAGTATATATTTGCATATTGAAAAATAATAGCAAGTTTTAAAAGAACAGGGTTCCACAAGGCAAACTCTCGCCTCCAATCTTATGGCATCCTATTGGAAAGAGAATGGTTCAAGCCAGCTTTGGTGAAACCAAATGAAAAAATCTTAATTTTTTTTTTTTAATTTAAGAAAATCCCTCTAAATATTTTAGTAATGAAAAGACTATTTAGGTGAACCCATGGCCCAGGGACTGTTTTTTCATGAACCGGGTTAAATCTTGGGAACATCTCTCATATAAATCTCTATCTGGCTCATGCTCCCATGTCAGGATTTCCCCTGGGAGCATCACTATGTAGCTCATGACTAGGTCACCATGACAAAAGGAAAAAGTCACTTAGGTCCTTGGCAGCACTCCAGTTGCATTAAATATAGCACTAGCATTATTTACCTTGACAAAGCTCACAAAAGAAGGGACTTGCACAAACAGTTAAAACCACTTTTCTTAGCTCTGTGGTGAGCCTCCACAGCCCCCAAGGGGTAGCATACTTTGCTGGGACTAAGGGCCCTGCACAAGGGAAGCACCCAGGTCACTAGAAAGTCAAGCAGCCCTCCCCCATGGTGAGCCCCAGGGGATCCCCCAGGGACTGACACAGTCCTCCAGACTTAACACAGGTGGTTAAGACTCCCAACAAGAGGGTAGCATTCTGGCATTGCGACAGAGTCTGTTCTTTCCTCCTGGATCCTCCCAGAGAAGGGTTCGCTCATCCATGTAGTCTCTTCAGCTCCACCTGGGCTGCTTTGTCCCAGCGCTCCCTCCCTTGGTCTAGGACTCTTCCTGTTCTCAGCAGGAGGTTTGTAGCCCAGGAACTCCTTCTCTGGATCCAGAAGAGTTACTCTTTGAATTACTCTGCCTGCCCCGGAGCTCCTCTCCACTTCCACTGGCTCCTGTTTCCGTAGCTCCTGGCTCAGAACTCCTTGCCCTTCCTCCTTCTCCGCCGGTCGTGCTGCCTGGGTGTCTCCTCTCCTGAGATTATGTGGTTCCTTAGAGAAGGGCCACTGTCACATGGCTGGGCAGGCTTCCCCCAAAGATGTCAGTCTGTGTATCACTGACTTCTTTTCTGATTGGCTCAGCTCTGATTCTGTTTCGGTCCATAGCTTTCTAGACCTCATTTCAAAGACTAGTCCAAGGGTATACGACCAGCCATAACTCAGTCTCATCCTCAGATGTGATGTGGAAGGACCCAGAATGCCCAGGACAAATTGAGTTTATACTTTACCATGAGTTAGATGAGTTCATATTATCAAGAGGATTTTACCACTTCTTAAGGAGACACAAGAAGCGTTCAGGATTTTCTCTCCTCTGCCCACCCCCACCCTCCCATTAGGTGACCAAGTTACTGGCTACAGATTCAAGAGAGAGCTAACCTTGAGTTCCCAGGGTCTGCTCCTTTCTACAGCTCTTCATTGCCAGACTCTTCCTTTTTCCGTTGCCAGAGATGCTGCTCCTGTATTTTTACTCTATATTTTTGTCTGTCTGTAGTGTGCCTTGAACTCTTTCTAGCTGCCTCTTCCTCCAGCTGACTCTCTGATGAGCTGTTCCCTGGGTGAATAGCTCTGATGCTACATGCCTTTGGGGCGAAGCAGGGTAGGAGGAAGGGGAGAGAAAATCCTATCTTCCCTCGAAGAGCTTAGTTCTTCAGGTACTAGCTCCTGCCTCCATTCACCTAAACTGCTAACTTTTCCAGGGCTTGGCTGTTTGAAATCCTACAAGGATTTGTCCCATTTTTTGATCATTTAATGAAATCCTTTTCTTCTGACTAAATCAGAGCTGTGTTCATACTTGAAGGGATAATAGGATGTTAACACATCAGAAACTCATTAGCTGTCTATATCCCATTTATCAGCTATGCTGAGGGACAGGGAGCTGGCTGGAATAAAATCCTGGAACCCTGCACTAATCTCACACTTTGATATCAAGCCAGAGTTTGAAACAGGAAAGAAACAAGGGTCTGGGGTCCAAAGTGCATCAGTTACGCCAGCAGTGCTTTACTCATCAAGTGAACAGATCCTTCTGAACAGAGTACATCATATTAACTACCTTACATTTTTACTGTTTCAGGGTGGAAGGTAAGGGAGAGTATACTGACATTCGTGGATTGGAATGGAGTGGTACCTTTCATTACACAGCGGCGCCGGGGCTGAAACTGAAGCTACAGATGTAGAAGGTCTCTAAACTAAAGTACAAACGTTCAAGTTGATGTTAATCTTAAGCAATTATGGCCGAATGTTTCCCTTAAAAGTTTCATACGCTAGTTACTGTACTGTGAGTTAGCCAATAAAATCATCCATCCATTTCTCCGTTTGCAACTTTATTTTCAGAGTTTAAAAGATAGTTTGAAATAAATTCTGAGAGGGTTCCCATCAGTTAAGGAATGGCTGAAGAAATTGTGGCATAGGAATGTCAGGAAATATTGCACTATAAAAATGGACAAATATGAGCAATTCAGAGAACCCTGGGAAAACTTATATGAATTAACAAAGCGTGGAAAAAATAGAAATGAGAACAACATATACAATGGCAACATTAATGTAAATGATACCAGTCCAAGTAAGGCTGAGCTTCGGTGAATGCGGCATATATTGGGAAGTGATACATATACACACACATATATGCCTATAGATGTATGCATATATATCTTTAAAAGCATGAATGAACAAAAAGTATTAATTGGGAGAAACATTTTAAAAGTTGCAGGAAGCCTAACTTGAAACAGCCTGTTCTAATAAACCAAATATATAACATAGTGGAGAGCTGTTTCTTAAAATTTCTGTGTAATCTTGGGAAAGTCAATTATCAGCTTGGGGCTTTTGTTTTCTCCTGTGAAAATGGAGTTCGTATGCATCCTCAACATAAAAATGTGTAACCACAGAGAGATTCTGAAGATTAAGCACAGTAAGAACTGAAAAGGTCTTTTATGTCCCAAAATTGTGTTTGTATATACATGTATGCATGTATATAAAACAATAGAATTTTAAAATGAGAGCAACTTATACTCACACTATCTGGCTGGGTTCCCTGAGCAGGGCTGCTACATCTCCCCTCAGGATTCTCAGGAGAGCCCTGAAGAGTTTTAACATAGATTGTCATAGTGCCTGGCACATAGTAGGTGGTTAATAAAGGCTCATTGACTAACAAGTAGGGAGAGATTATTGATTAGTTCGAACAGCCTCTACCCCTAGATCTGACTACAAGAGAAAAGCACATTACTAAATTATACTTACTCTTTGATGATAAGTGGATTTGTGATCTCATTTTTGTCCATCAATACAAATAATAGCCTATGTGAACGTTCTTGTGTGATTCTTAATCTTGTGTTTCTGTAAATCCTCCATATATGCCAGGAGGAATCTGACAAGCAGGACAGCTTTGGAATTCATGTGTTGAATTTATGTGTTTAAAAAGAAAAGTAGTTTTGTTTATAATCTACTTTTTCTTTTCTATGAATATATAGATGTTCATTTTATTTGATGTTCGTAAAGTTCATAATAAAAAATTCTAAAGAAGTAATCCTCTGTATATCATCTTACTTTGTTGTAGATCTTCCTTTATTTTAATATTTCATGGATATGAATACAATGCTTTAGCTGTCCTTCCATTATCCTTTACTCCTATTAGGTAACCTGTCCACATCTTCTGCCTCTCTCTCCCCCCGCCTCCTCCAGTTACACGTGTCGTTGATGGTATCTGTTATACATCTTTTTGGTAAAATCCTTGATCCTAATTAAACCAACCTTTCACATTTCTGTTGTACCTTTGGGTCACCTGTAATTTGAGACTTTGGAGATCATGGTGTTTCATGATTCTCAGTCATGGAGCACTATGGTGGTTTAAACACTATTGGTGTTTAAAAGATGGGATATTGTGGCCAAGAACAGCTTGGGACCATTGAGAATGCTGTGAAATTGGCCAAGTGGGATCCACCCCGTTTTCTTCCACCTATTCAATTCCATGCAGTAACTGTCCAAGATAACTTCATTGATGGGCTAACTCAGTGCCTAGCTACATGTCATAAACTGGGCAATAAATGTTTCTTAACACTCATTCTGTGTTCCCAACGTTAGTATCTATGGTCACAGACCATAGATCTCACCAAGGAAATTCTGCAGTACTATGGACCGAAATGCAATCAACACAATTATCTGTCAATAAACACCTCTGAAAAACCTCATAATTGATAATACCTTCCTATTTAGAAATGACATTTAAGTTTTGTTTTTAAAAAAAGTTAGGGATTCTAAAAGGCAAAGGTGAGGAAAGCATTCATGCTAGATATTGTGGGACACCAAGTGTAATGGCATTGAGGTGGGAGATGGAGTTTTGTGGGAGTTTTATTATTTATTTCCAACATTAATTTTAAAAAAACTTAGTTCCAAATTCTCTCTCTCCAGCCCTTCCCCCACTCACTGAGAGGGCAAGCAATAATATAGGAGATGGAGGAACAGTTAAGCCAGTTTGGCTGGAATGGACAGAATGGGGGTATGTGGAGATTAATATGAAATAAATTGGAAAATTTGGTAGGAGTCATATGTATCATATATTTTATCTTTGAGGGAAAAGTGAGTCACTGAAGATTTTTGAGTGGGAGAGGGGCATGATCCGATTGGTCTTTATTAATATCAATTTGATCATCATGTGGAGCATGGTTTGGAGAGGAGAGAGACCAGAAGCAGGGAGCCAGCTTGCAAGATAAGGAGAAGAGAGTGGGACTTGATGAAATGATGGCAATGAGTGTCGGCTTTTTATTTATTTATTTTTTTTTAAAGCAGTTTGGCTGTAGAATAGATGAGTAATGTAGAAAAATAACTTGAGGGGATGACTGAATCAGGTAATGGTTTTTGGGGTTTTTTTTCCTTTTGGTTTGTTTTTGTTGTTATTGGATAGAGGGATATGAATGTGTATGTAGGTGGTAGGGAAGGATCCAGCAGCTAAGGAAAGATTGATGATATGAGAGAGGGGGGAAAACTCTGAAAGAGATGGGAAGAGATGAGATCAAGAACACAGTTGTAGCAGTTGGCCTTGGCAAGGAGAAAGACCACTTCTCTCTCAGAGCTTGGAGTAGAGGGGAAGAGACTTATGTGGCAGGACCAACAAAACTTTAACTGTTACAATGCTTTCCATTTCTTTGTATTTCTATAATTCTTATATGTATACGTATGTGGTTTTGTTTCTTAGAATTTTGTAATTGCAAGTGCCATCCTTCTTCACTTTATAATCCCCAAATATAAATAAATCATTATCCCTTGGTATAGAATATATACATGCATATATATATATATTTATATACAGTTGTACTTATAAATTAGATCTTAGTACCTTTGTTAGAATCTTTGTGTATTGGAAGTTTACTCCCTTTCTTCTGTGGAATCTGAGTAAAGTTACTTCATGAATAGCATTCTAAAAGGAAAAAATAAAACATTAACACCTCAATAAATCCTTTGATTCTTGAGAGAATAACCCCAAACCCATCAAGTTATGGGTGGTAGAGATAACATTCTTCTTGTATTTGCTAGACAATTGGCATTTATAATGTGTTATTTGTCCATTACTTTTTGCTATCACCCTTAAAACCATCTGAGGTCTCTCCTTCTTCTCCCACTCACTTAACATCACAGTGTCATGGGTCATGACACCATAGATAAGAGCCTTTTTATCCCCCTTGTCAGCAAATCTTAGGAAAATCAGGAAGCATTTCAGTCCCATGTTGTCATCCCATTCTACCCATACTATGCTCCAATGCTATGGCCAAAATATCGATCTGGAAATGTAGTTTGCTCCCTATCAATCACCATCCTAGAAACTCCATAAAGAAGGGAGCATCTCCAGCATGTGTCAGAAATGAGACTTTTCCTCCATAAAGAGGGAAAACTGGAAAGCCATTTTGGAGTTGTCACACCACCCCAATCTGGGGAACTGCCACATGATCTCTCCAGTCTGGATGCAGAATTGGAAGTCCCCCACTCCCATTGTCAGATGATTATAAAGAATTTCTTTGAACAAATTTCATTTGAACTCTTAAGCCTTGTGTATGAGTTTCTTTTTCTTCTCCCTAGTGCTGATGCCTGGGTTACTACATAATTTCTCAATTTGTGGAGCCATTTGGGACAGGTAGAAGAATTGAAATGAGTAGGAGAAACTGATTGTCTCCTGATTTTTATGCTAGTTGCTGTTGAGAGCAGTTCTAATTTAGGCTGCAGAATGACAAAGATGAGTTTTGAGGTGTGGAGTAAAGGAAATAAGGAAGCCTACAAGACATGGCTTTTCCCTCCCAGTAAAGTAGAAAGGAAGGTCCTATACTAAGAGGGAGAGTGGAGGAATGAGTATAGAAGGCTTGAGGAGAAGGGAGAAAGTTTGGAATAGCTGCTATGGTTAGAATCAATCAGAGAAGAAGAGGATTGCTAGACGGCAGTGAGAGTCCAGTTAAGATTAGACAACATGAACTTGAAGTGAATCCAGTTGGCACAGTTGTGTTTCTATTCAGCAGTATTCTGCAGCAGGTAAGTATGGATGGGGAAGGCAGGCTGGGGATGGGAGAGAGAGAAAACCAGGGTAGGAGTCTGGCAAAGCATTATCAGTGATAGTACAATAGGGCAGGAGGCAGGAGATTCAAAGGTAGCTGTTAGTGTATATCTGAACTGTTTAATAATATAGTTGACATGGTGAAAGGAAGCTAGCTGCATAATGAATAGGCAGAGTGCTGAACTTGGACTTGGGAGGACCTGAATTAAAATGCTGTCTCAGACACTTACTGGCTAGGTAACCTTGGGCAAGCCACTTCCTCTCTAAGTCACGGTTTCTTGGTCTGTAAAATGGGGATGATAATAATACCTACCTTATATGGTTGGTGTGAAGATCTAATGAGATAATATATGTAAAACAATATATGAAATGTTAGCTATCATCATTATTATTATTATTAGCTATTCAATGACAGCAATACAAGGGTGATAGATTGGGTTACCAGGGATGAGTGAAATCACAGTGAGGAAGAACAATAGGGTTAGGAATAGTGGGGCAGAGGTCTAAATAGTAAATAGATGGCTATGACTGAAAAGAAGAGTTTCAGAGTTCTGAATCCTGGAAACGGGATAGCTATGGGTGCTGGTTAGATTGAGGTTATAATTATCCCTTTGTGTGGCCAATGTCAAGGGAAGATGGAAATCGTTAGAGTTTAAGAGGTTGATGAACCTGGTTGTTTAAGGTGATATTAAAGTATTCTTCCCAAATTCTTCATATTCATCATTAGTATCATAGTATAATCATATTCCATTAATTAACATATCACAAGGGTGTGTT